TAAGACTACCGGCACGTATTTAAGATGTTTTCCTCTTGCACAAAAAATAATAATAATAACCTTCTGAAAATCACCCCTTTTGAGAAGTGCTCCACGCTCGTTAATGACCAGCCAATCAAAGCGAGTCTGATTAGCTGCGCCTGGCGGCTGCTGCTTACAGACGGGGATATGAAACACATCCACTGACTCACGCTGTGTGCCTTTGAATCAACTCGTAGCTTTCTCTCTGCTCAAATCTGCTCTTCTTCGACCCATACTTACACAGTCAACTGTTACCAAGTAACAGTGCATTTGAATGGCCACCCACATAGCAACAAGTGCTCCACGGAAGGACTCTCCTCATACCTGCATGGACTGCAACAGCCCCATCGGCTGTGCCTGCAGGCACTCAGCGTGAAAATCAGCTGACTTGAAGTCAGTAAAGTCATCCACTGAGCAGCAATGTGTGACAGAGGCAAAGGTTTGTAAATTCAAAAACACACGTGTTGGAGGTCTTCTCTAAAGCTGCGTCACACACTCTTAATCATAAACTCGTAAACAGTGTATTTGGCTGTGTACTAGCCTGCAGAAAGTGCTGCTGGTTCGCAGGATGCAAGGAAGAAAAATCTTACACAGGAGTTTGCGGTTTGCCTGAGGTAGCGAACCATTTTAGTGTCCGAAGCAGGGCAGACGAGGGCCATGTACCGGTTCCTGAAGGTGCCATAGATCTTCAGATGGAAGCAGGGCTTGGCTGTTGGGTTTTTGTGCTCTCTGAGAGCCTCCACTCCATATGCAGACAGGTCAAAATAGAGGCTGTGTGCACGGATCTCAGGAGTGGGCACCTAAAGGTGGCATTGACAAAGAGAAAAGGAGATAAAACATTTCAGAAAGTCATTACTGCAAGCCTAATGTCAGCCGGGGGAAGATCGAAAATAGCTTGATTCTTATTCAGCGCCGCAACCTAATCACTCTCCCTCAAGACAACATTTATCAACTGTCTTTTTCTTCAGGGACATAAAAACATCTGAGATAAGAGTGCAGAAACTGGGCTATGATGACGATGAGGAGGAGAAGGAGGAGGAAGGGACAGTAAGAAGGGCCAGGTCAGATCCTGGGAGGAAAATTCAATCACCACAGGAAACAGACGGAGGACAGCGGCCTATGAAAGGCAGCCATGCAGCTGCCAAAGAGGACGTGGTGTGAATGTTTAGGCTTGTGTTGGTTTGATGTCAGCCTGAAGCCTTTCACCTTGACCTGTTTATTTCTGCCTTGAGCAGCCCTCTGTGTTGCCACTGTAGATTCTTGAGTCAACTTTCTATGAGTCGAACCTTTTTTGCACGGCTAAGATCTCATGACTCGTGCAGCCTCAGGAGCAGACAAATGAAATTCGCTGGCGTTTTAAACATCACCAGCAGCTGTTCTTTTCAAATTCAAAGACTACATGGATCCGATGCGGACGAGACCCAGCAGACTCCTGAAATCTGTTCACAAGGGTCGGGTGTTAGCGCTCCACATCTCCGTCTGCTCAGATTTTCTGTATGAGGAAGGCAAATACATCTGCCTTCATTATAAGTGTGCTTCACAGACAGCCACACGATTATTGACTCAATTTGCAAGCGACTAAACGCATCACACACACTCGCGTTCACATCCGGCTCTATCTTTGTTTGTGATGATTTTATCCAGTTACGGTGCAGCTGCTTCCACCAGCTGTCTGGTTTTTGTTCCAGTTGTTTTATGCACACGTTCCCATGTGTTTGCTGACCTGTCTCTGGTCCAGTCTCTCTATGGTGGCATTTGCTCCGAAGGCGTGGCAGGACTCCATGGTGTAGTCGGAGCTGATTCCCAACACGGAGCAGGAGTCCCCACAGGAGCCATCGGCCACCACAATCACACGTGGCCAGTCGCTGTGTGGAATCCGCTGGAGGTACTCCTCTGTGAACTAAAACACAGAGAAAATGTACTTTATAACAGTAAATCCATACAGAATATTTAAAAAATCAGCTGAACATCATTTCTCAGAAACATGAGAAATATTTTCTTTTATTATTATCGTCTGACTCTTAAAAGCAAATGTTGAATTTACTCAACCAAGTAGCTTAAATGTAAACGTAACATTCATGATTATACACTGTTATGTTAGAAGTAAATGTATATTACTCTTTACCTTTAAGCAACTACGTTTGGTGGAACCAGTTGACATAACTTGTAAATTCAACATTTTATTTGTTAGAGTGTGGATGATAATGTTTTTTTTGTATGTCAGTGTATTTCTTTTCTATTTTTTTTTTTTGGGGGGGGGGGGGTACCTAAAAGAACCACAGGATGGATTTGAATGAAACTTTAAAAAAAGTATGTAGTCATCCACCACCTGTGCAAGTTCTCCCACTTCAAAAGATGAGCGAGGCCTGCACTTTTCATCATAGGTGCACCTCATCTATGAGAGACAATATGAGAAGAGAAATCCCAGAACTTCACACTGTCTGATTTTTAAGGATTTATTTGTAAATTATGGTAGAAAAAAAGTATTTGGTCAATAAACAAAGTCCATTTGAATACTTTGTTACATATCTTTGTTGGCAATGACAGAGGTCAAAGGTTTTCTGTAAGTCTTCACAAGGTATTCATACACTGTTGCTGGTATTTTGGCCCTTTCCTCCACGCAGATCTTCTCTAGAGCAGTGGTTCCCAAGCTGGGGTCCAAGACCCCAAGGGGGTCTCCACAAGATGGCAGAAGATCCCCACAATTTTAGAGACTGACTAAGCCACTCTGGGATCTTGAAATGCTTCTTATGAAGCCACTCCTTTGTTACCCGGGCGGTGTGTTTGGGATCACGGTCATACTGAAAGACCCAGCCGTGTATCATCTTCAATGCCCTTGCTGATGGAAGGAGGTTTTCACTCAAAATCTGATGACACATGTCTCTGTTCATTCTTTCCTTTACACGGGTCAGTCATCCTGGTCACGTTGCAGATAAAAAGCCCCAAAGCATGATGTTTCCACCTGTGGAGGTTCCTCCAGCCATTTCTCAGTGTTAGTATTATTTAAATATTTTTTCCACACGCTGGTTTATTTCATTTCGTTGCAAGATTGTAAGATGTTTACTAATGGGTGCACACATTTAGTAATTTATCTTATACATGGTTTATTTGATCATTAACTATTTTCATTTGTATTCTGCTGAGACTGGATGAACTGGCAGAGAGCGAGGACACTCCCCGTGTAACTCCAGGCAGGAAGTGGAACATTCCATCTGGCTCCTGGAAGCAGGGGACTTGATCATGAAGAAACCAGAAACCAGAAGTTCTGAAGCTCTAATTGAGTTTACCAGATGTTGTTAGGAGGTATTAGTTAAACTTTTGTGGTAGTTATACTCTGTTGACTTAGTTTCCTAGGTTTATTTACTGTTTGTCTTAGTGGTTCCCCTGTCTCTCCCCTCTTCGTTGTCTGTAGGCTAGCCTTCGTGTATAAATTCCCCTGTGTGTCTCAGCTTTTGGCCAGTCTTGCTTGTTGCTTTTAGTTAAGGTTATTTCCGTGGCCATTTTTTTCCTTTGGGCCCGTTTTTGTTTTGATTTTGGTTAATTATTTATGGAAATAAATTGTGAAGATATTCTTTTTATACCATTGTCCTGGAGTTTTACTGCTCGGTCCCTGACAGTTGGTGGCAGAGGTGGGATCTTCCAGTTAAAGGACATTGGTAAATAGATTCGCCCAATATATATATATATATATATATATATATATATATATATATATATATATATATATATATATATATTCCTGACAAATCTAAAATGAAGGGAACCAAATCTGGTAAAATCAAGTCAGCCCCTTTAAATAGAGAAGCACAGACAGAGGATGGGAGTGAGGGCTGTGGAGCTGCTGCTGAAGAGGAGGATCATGGCAGAGAGCCAACAATATCAGACCTGGCTGGCATCCTTCAAGCTCACATTGGACAACAGGAAGCCCATGAGGTACAGTGGGAGAAGGAGATTACACGCCAGGATCAAAGATTTAAAGATCTTCAACACCAGTTCAGTCTGTTTCAGCAAGAGTTTCAGGCCCAGACCTCTGCTGGCTTGCTACCTGTAGAGCAAGACCACGCCCGCTTCTCTGCAGGTTTGGGGCCGGCAGACCATGAGAGGCCTCATGAGGATGCTGATTGGGATGAGGTGGAACCAGAGCCTGCACCATGCTGTTTAAAATCAGGTGACTCAGTTTCTGTTCGTCCTTCCTATAAAGAACCAAAATTGCAAAAGCTAAGTGAAGTGGATGACATTGAGCATTTTCTTATAACTTTTGAAAGAATAGCATGTGCATGTAGATGGCCGAGATCTGACTGGGCATTCCATTTGATTCCACTATTGACGGGTAAAGCCAGAAGTGCCTATGTACATATGGATGTGGATGCATCAATGGACTATGATCATGTTAAAGCTGCTATTTTGCAGAAATATGAAATAAACAGTGAGACTTATCGTCTGAGGTTCCGTTCTCTTCAAGTTGAACCAAATGAGTCCCCCAGAGAACTCTTTGTGAGACTAAAGGAGCTCCATGGGAAATGGGTCAGACCCAGAGGTAAGACCACTGATGAAATTAATGAAACAATAATCCTTGAACAGTATTTCCAAATGTTATTGCCAGAACTCCAAGTTTGGATCAAGGAGCGGAATCAAAGGGATGCAGCAGAGGCAGTTTCTTTGGCAGATGCGTTTGTGGCAGCCCGTCGAAGGAACCAATCATGGGCTTTTAAGGCTATGAAAAAGGATTATACCCCTGCGCCAGGTAACACCAGTCCAACAGGAAATGTTGGTAAGCCATGTGAAGGGAGAAATATTTTCCCAGCCAAACAAAAAATCTGGGGCGGAAACCTGTCTGTTATTTTTGTGGGAAAGAAGGCCTCGCCAAACCGGTGTGTCCACAAAATCCAGCTAAACTCTCTCAGACGTGTTTTGTGCCCAGAGGGAACCATGTCCCAAACCCAACCAACCAACTGTTGGTGGAGACCACAGTGGAGATAGATGGACAGAAAGTTAAGGCTCTGATTGACACAGAAAGCACCCATTCACTGGTTCACCGCAGGTACGTCTCACCAGCTCACATCTGCACCTCTGAAACAATACCAATCTGCTGTGTGCATGGTGATGAAAAACCGTATCAACAGCGGACGTCTATATGAAAGTGCAAGGACATGTGTACCTATTAAATGTGGGTGTCATGGACAGATTACCATTTCCTGTTGTCTTAGGGAGTGATTTACCAGTTCTCACTGACTTCATTAATGATCCTAAAATGTGCAATATGGCAATAACACGGTCTCAGTTGAAAGCTCCAGGAGAAGATGATCCCAGTTTAAGAGCTTTACCATTTTTTGAGGCTGAGATTGAAGCAGGCCCAACTAAAGAACAAAAGTCTCGTAGGCAGCGCAAACGGGACAAATTTAAACGCACAACACTGTCCACTGTTACCTGAACCTGAGGTACAGCTAAGATTTGAAGTTCCTGACAACATTCTTGAGCTGCAGCATCAGGATGCAGGCTTGGCTGACCTTATTAAGGGAGCTGAAGAAGGTAGGACGGCAAAGGAATTCTGTTTGCAAAATGGCATCCTTTATGGACAACATGGAGAACTGAAACAGCTTGTGGTACCTAGAGCAGCCAGAGAAACTGTTTTATCTTTGGGCCATTCAATTCCTTGGGCTGGCCACCTAGGGAAAAATAAAACCTTAGCCCGCATCCAACAGTACTTCTCCTGGCCGGGATTGTACAGAGATGTTGCCAGTTTTTGCAGGAGTTGCCCTCAGTGCCAAAAAACATCAGCCAGATTCGCAGCAAGAGCTCCGCTACAGCCTCTTCCCATCATAACGACAACGTTTGAACGTTTGGGGATGGACGTTGTGGGCCCAGTGGAGAAAAGCAAATCAGGTAACCGATTCATGCTGGTTATGCCACAAAATTACCAGAAGTGTTTCCGTTGAAGTCTGTTAAAGCCAAGACCGTTCCATTTTTCCTGGTTCAGTTTTTTGCACGAGTTGGGTTCCCTAAAGAAATATTGATGGATCAAGGGACCAATTTCATGTCCAAGTTGCTCAAGGATGTGTACAAGCTGATTGGTATTCGTAGGCTGAGAACAACGCCGTAACATCCACAAACTGATGGTCTTACAGAGAGATTTAGCCAGACCCTTAAAAACATGCTTCGTAAGTTCATCAGTGAAGCTGGGTCTGATTGGGATCAGTGGCTCCCATACCTTTTGTTTGCCTATCGAGAGATACCCCAAGCTTCTACTGGGTTTTCCCCCTTTGAGTTGCTCTTTGGGCATGACGTGCGAGGACCACTGGCACTTTTAAAGGAAAGGTGGGAGAAGGAGAAATCTAAAAAGGAGCCTGTTAACGTTGTTTCATGTGTCCTCCAGATGAGGGACAAGCTGGAGAAGATGACCACCTTGGCTCAGGAGCATATGAATGTCTCCCAGCAAAAACAAAACCTGGTATGACAGGACTGCTCGAGAGCGGCATTTTGAACCAGGTCAAAGTTTTGGTTCTACTACCCACTGAAGACCGTAAGCTTTTGGCTCAGTGGCAAGGACCATATGAAGTCATTCAAAAGCTTTGTCCCACGACCTATAAAATCTGTAGTCCAGGTGAGAGGCGTAGTACCAGAGTCCTCCACATTAATCTCCTGAAAGAGTGGATCTCAAGGCCTGAGGAAAAGGAGAAACGAGATGTTTGTCTCATCAGAAGTGTGACAGAAGAGGAGGTGGAAGAACAACACCTCCCTCTACAGGTGACTTCTGGGCTTGACCTGAGCCATCTGTCCCCTGAGCAGGGGTCACAGGTGAGGGCCGACTGTAATGCCAATATTTTTCAAGATAATCCTGGGTGTACAGATTATATCAAACATGAAATTCTTTTGAAAGAAGATGATGAGAAGATAAGTTAATTATGGAAATAAATTGTGAAGATATTCTTTTTATACCATTGTCCTGGAGTTTTCCTGCTCGGTCCCTGACACCACCCCCATGCTTTATAGTAGTTATTGTGTGCTTTGGATGCAACTCGGCATTCTTTTTTCTCCAGACACGATGAGTAGAGTTTTTGCCAAAATGTTCTAGTTTGGTTTCGTTTGACCACATGACATTCTCCCAGTCCTCTTCTGGATCATCCAAATGCTCTCTAGCAAACTTCAGACGGGCCTGCACGTGTACTGGCTAAAGCAGAGGGACACGTCTGGCACTGGAGGACTTGAGTCCCTGGTGGCGTAGTGTGTTACTGGTCCCAGCTCTCTGCAGGTCATTCACTAGACCCCCCAGTGTTTGTTCTGGGGGGTTTTGGAGGGAGATTATCAGTGGTCTTGTTTGTTTTGCACTTTCTAATAATTGCTCCCACAGCTGATTTCATCACACCAAGCTGCTCAAATATGATGTTGCATCATACCCAGCATATACTCCAAGTACAGAAAGATTTTACAATACAGCATTAAATAAATGTTTAAGATTTGTGATAAGGCTATCATGTCTCAATAAAAAAAATCTTAAATATAACAATAAGTGAGTGGTATTCACGCCTGAAAGGAATGCTAAATCTTCAATAGGAATCTAGTTGTGCGACCTATATTCATGGATGGTATTTACTATTATCAAGAGATTTGTTTATGCTATCTTGACCAGCGGATATGAGGTTTTTGTTTCCAATATGGTTTCATAATCTAAGGGAAGAAGCAGGCGGGTCCTAATATAACCGAAGCTATATTAAATCAGGCCTTTATTGGTTCTTCTTGCCTTAACAGCAGAACACATCTCCGAGAGATTTTATTACTTTCCTCTAATGTTTGCTTCCTCTCACCAGCTTCTCGTCCATTTAAAGAGGGAAGGGCGGGGGGGAGTTGGAGGATAGCCAGACAAGCTGGTAGGGAGAGAGAACAAAAGGGTTGTGCTGTAAGAGCTCATATCCTAAGAGATCTGTGTCTCATCCATTTAAGCCACGTTGAACAGGTGATTTACATGACCCCTCCTGCATTCCTAGACCTCTGAAGCACTCTGTCCAGGAGCATAAAAGTATCTGTCTTCAAGCTGGATATCTCATTTAATCAAGAAGAAATTGCAGGTTTGGCAGTCACTAAGTGAAACAGAAGTATGTTACAAAAATATGCTGACCTTGTCTCTTATTCCAAAGGTTTGTTGGGATTTAGAAAGGACGGAGGCAGCGGTTAAGAAAAAGAGAGGCATCACGGGTCAGATCCAGAAGGAGTTGAATCAAAGAAATCTGGGATTAAATGTTTTCCAGCTGTGTTCGATGATTAGAGGGAAACTGAAATGTCAAATGTGATGAAAGCACTCAGCTTTTATTGCATTTGACAAAAAAATTCTCAAATTTAACCCTCTGGAGGCAGGCGTTGCAGATTTGCAATGTTAAAATCTACCTGGTTACTCCACATACGTATTTCATGAGCATTTTTTAACTCTGACGTACCGCTGAAAGACTTAGTTGTTCGTCCTTTTATCAAGGCTTATTTTGAGCCTGAGAGGGTTAATACAGCATTAATACAGATTCATGAATGTTCACCCTTTTTCTGGCGTTTCTGAGACTTACAGTGAGTTTTGAGTTCTGGTGTGAAAGTTGGATCTCCAGAATCTGAATTTAGATCTTAATTATAAATTCATAATGTGTATCCTGTTAATTACAGTCAACCTAAATTAGAATCAGCAGCTCAGAGCAGCAAAAACCTAATAACAAGAAAAGTATCTGTTAAATTTTACATCGTCATACAGTATAGGCTTGTGTCATAATGTTGTGTTATAAAATCAAGTGTCAAAACATGTGGTAGCATCAGAGAAACCCCACACGAAATCTCATTCTGTTAATAAATAAATCCTCTGGAATCAAATTAGGATTACATCTAAAATCCCCTTTAATATGTTTGGGTGGAGATCTGTTTGCTGTAATTCTGCCATTTAGTTCCCACCAACACAAAAATGTAGGAAGGATTCAGTTTACATAACAGGGTGTTTCAACCCAGAAGCTTATTTTTAAATCTCAGGTCATCTGGTTTAAAAGAGAAAGCTGAGCCAGAAATAGACAAATGAGAAGCTGACAACTCTTTTCCCATCCATTCTATTTCCACTTATCTGGGGTCAGTTCATGGGGGCAGCAGCCTCTTCCTTTGGGTCTCCTCCCGGTTGGACATGCCCAGAAAACCTCACCAGGGAGGCGTCAAGCAAGCATCCTAACCAGATACCCGAGCCACCTCAACTGGCTCCTCTAAATGTGGAGGAGCAGCAGATCTACTCTGAGCCCCTCCCAGATAACCAAGCTTCTCACCCTATCTCTAAGGGAGAGCTCAGACACCCTGTGGAGAAAACTTATTTTGGCCGCTTGTATCTACAATCTCATTCTTTTGGTCACTACACAAAGCTTGTGATCATGTAGGTGAGGGTAGTAGGAATGTAGATGACCGGTAAATTGAGTGCTTTCCCTCATGTTCAAATGGATATATTCAGAGTTTAAGGATGGCAAATCATTCTGAAATGATCTGAGTGATGTTATGAGTTGGATCTAAGATGAGTAAAGAGCCAGGAGAGTCTGTTCTGTTCTTTATAGCCTCTAGAGAGGAAAAAATCTTTTAAAATGTTTATTTTATTCAGTCTGTTTCCCTGCAAAGTCGTGCTGTGTTATCTACAGAAGTATAAATTTATTTTGGCACATCCACTGATAACATAATTAAAATTAGGAATATTGTTCAATTCAAACCGTTTTAAATGTTTCTCCAGACTCTGTTCCATCACAAATGGGCTGTTCTTTGTTGGTGTGGCTGAACCCATGAAGAGGACGTACCTTGGTGCCCAGCTGCACTTTGACTTCCACCTTCTGCTTCTTCTGCTCCAGGATGCTCAGCAGGTACTCCTGGAACACGCCTATTCTGGTGAAGAAATGCTCGTTGTGCCAGCAGCCTTCCATGTTGTCAAAGTCCACCCCAAGTCCCAGCAGAAACTTCACGCTGCGGGGATCCAAGGCGATCTGCTGGGGCCGGCAGAGCAGGGCGGTCCGGTAGCGCTCGTCCAGCACGGTCAGCTTCAGCACCTTCCCGGAGCGGACAGCGACCAGCGCGGCCGTCAGCCCTACGGGTCCCGAACCCACGATCAGCACCGAGATGCGGGCTCGCCACTGCCTGAAGCCGTCCAGGCTGACTTTCAGCAGCACGTAGAGGGCCACTGCCACCAAAGTGCTGAGAGCCGTGTCATAGGCGAGAGCGCGGTACTTCTCCTCCTCGTTTCCGCCGATCCCTCCTCCGTCCATTCCGCACGAGTCTTTCACCGAGTACACGGAGGTGCCCCCTGGTTCGGATCCGTCTTCAGGTGTGCATTTGGAGCAGGAGACAAGAGGGTAGCCTGCGGGCGACAGACTTGCCACATGAGTCCTCTCAGCCTCAGCTCGACTCCCCCCTCTGTCTGGGAGAAAGGTGCGCGTGTCCAGGAGGGGCCAGCCAGAAAAAAAGCATCATAAAAGGCACCCATCTGGGGGGGGGTATGCCAATGTTTATAAAACATTCATAAAAATGTATAAAACAATAAACTGAAAACAATTAAGACTACATTGTGCACACGTGTGAAACATTTTGGAGAGATTTCAGAATGCTCTTCTTTTTCTCGTCTGGATCTGGATTATTTTTTCGGATCTTTGAGGTGTGGCTCTGTGGAAATGTTCTGGTCGATTCATACCTGACCTTTACTTTATCTATTTGAATGGAATTTGTTTTGAGAGATAACTCTGATCAAACCAACGAGCAAACAAATCTCCAAATTATCAAAGTGGCGTATGTAAATGATCTTTTAAAGCTTTCATGTTGGGGGGTGTAAAAAAAAGAGCTCAGATGCATCTGAATCCAGAAGTAAAAATCAGCTGGAGGAGAAAGTAGCTTTTTGGAGTCTTATTTGCTTATATTTGGACATCTCACCTCTGACTGACTAACAGCAACGCAACTCTGTTTGCTTTGCAACACTGATGTTTTATCTCCACAAAATAACACCAGCCTGGAGAAGTTCTGCTGTGTGGTGGAGTTGCTAATGCTAACAGTTAGCTGCTACTAGCCAAGACATTCTCTGTTGTCTCCTGGATGCTAAACCAACAACAGCCTTCCCCGTTGTGAGTCAAGATGGATGAGTCCATGAACATTCAGTGACATTGTGATGTAGACCTGTCAGGATTTTCAAATCCTAGAGTTTCACCATCTATTTTCCATATGGACAGAATCATATGTAAACAACCATGTAACATATTTGCATAAACCTCTATGACAGTTTTGGTGCTCATCTATGCTGAGCTGTTTCTCCAGAACGAGTGCCATCTGCTGCAGGTAAGATTAACTATTCAAACCATTTTCACAGAAACCCTAACTGTCCCTTTAAGAACCATGCTAATTGCTGGCCCATCCTCCATTTTCTTTCATTTCAGTAACCTTCACTTTAATCTTTTCTCTTTTTGCATGGACACACTTCACCATGGTGATGGTTCTTCAAAAGACAAGGTCGATTTAGGCGAAACGATGCTCTTCTATCTAGCTGCTGCAGATCTGAAGAAAGCAGAACTGTCACATGTTGAGTCTTTTATTGCCTATTGATTTTTTCATGTTTATTTGATTTGAGATCATCTGAGCTGGCCGATTCTTTATGATAGACCTCATTTAGAAACACCCAACCATCATTTTACAGACCTACGGGAGCTGATTGGGTCTCTGGTTGTTTGTTTGATGAGCATTGCAGGCTCCTGTTGATGATGAGCTGCAGGTAAACAAGAAAGCTGGTCTCCGAATGATTCTGCTCTAAAGATGTTCGTTTTTCTGTAAGGTGCAAAAGTAACCCAGCAACCCAGCATCAACCCAACTGGTGGTCTGACCTTTTCACCCTGCTAATTAATGGGGATGAGAGCGGATTCATGAAGACACCAACGTTTTTGTATCTAAATGCATAAAAAACAATGCTTGTGTTTATAAATCTGTTTGAGAGAGAGAGAGAGAGAGAGAGAGAGAGAGAGAGAGAGAGAGAGAGAGAGAGAGAGAGAGAGAGAGAGAGAAAACACATTACACCTCCACCAGTAATTGGTTTTCACCTCTACTCAGGTGCCTGGCAACTATCACACTGGATATTCTACAAGGAGAGAAGTAAAGCTCTGATTACAGGTTTTTAAAAATGCAGCCTGGAAGAGGACAGCTAATGAGGCATTTTCAGGGAGCAGTCACACTGAATGAACTAATATATATAATCATATATATAAAACATGTTTATGCAACATTCCTATGTTTATATTTTGTATTGGATGGATGGATCAGGCTTTCATGTTTACACTGACTCAAAATAACCAGAAAAACAATTTGGCTTGACAACATTTTTGCTTTGATTTCAACATTATCATAATATATGCAGTCTCACAGGGGTGATGGTGATAATCCCCTCATGAGTCAGGGGATATGAATGTATTAATTGCACCGAGTGGATCCCTGACACATCTTCCTCTGGCGGCTGTGAACAAAAGGAGCTCAGAGAGCAGGCTTACAGCAGCTTGTCCACATCGTATGACAATAATGGCGTCCACACTTAGATCTGATGTCATTAGGGGGAGAAACACAAAACTCCCTGGAAATAGAGAAAAAATTATCTTTGCTGTTTTAGTTCACATCCCTGTTATCTTTTCAACCTGTAATGATTTGGCAAAACTGAGGTGAAATGAAGAAGATGATGAATTAACAATAACTTAACATGGATCGGTGGATCGGGTCTTCATGCCTCCATTACACAAAACCCGAGTCCAACATTGGATGATTGTACATTATTCCATCTCTAGTCTCAAGCTGCTATTAAAACATCTTACATGATATTTTTGTGTCATTACTACATCCATGCTGTAAATAATTTACAATCTCTATTCTATTCTTTTTTTCTTTACATATATATATATATATATATATATATATATATATATATATATATATATATATATATATATATATATAAAACGTGTGTGTGTGTGTGTGAATCCGTTTTTCTTAACTGACCTGTAACTTTTGCTGCTGGTGCACCAGAATTTCCCCAATGAGGGACAATAAAGGGCTTTATTATTATTATTATTACTATTATTATTATTGGAAAGGAGCACAAATGAATCATTCAGGGAATGCTGGGAATAAAATCTCCAACTCATCAAAGCAAACTTATTTAAGGTGTGGAACACTGAGATAACATTTTTTATTACCATTTCTGATGCAGGCTGAACATGAAAATAGTCTCCTACACCAATCTCCTGATAGAAACCAGACAGTGAGACTCAAGGATTAAAAAATCCCGACAGCAACGTCACACTGTCACTTTAACATTCATGAACTCACACATCCTGACTCGTGACAAGGAAGGCCGTTGTCTTAGCATCCAGGAAACAGCAGAGAACTTCTTGATTAGTAGAAGCTAACTGTTAGCATAGCAGCTCCACCACACAGCAGAAATCCTCCAGGCGTGTGTTATTAGTGGAGATAAAATGTCAAATGTTGCAGAGCAGTCAGTGGTAGAGTTGTGTTGCTGTTAGCCAATCAGAGGAGATGTCCAAATAAAAGGAAATCAGACTCCAAATCCTGCAGAGTTCAGCTCTCCTCTGATTCTGCTAGTTCCAGTACTTTTTTCTCCAGAGTACGACGTACAAGGCATTCGTTCCTACTAGAGACCACTGCGAATGCATTGATAAAACAAGTGCTATGCACCTATAACATGTATCAGTTACGTTAGATTCAAGTTAGTATTGTTCAAACCATTCTCCAAAATTCACCCAAGCAACTTTTAAAATGTTCAACCTCATTTTGTTTCCCTAATCTTGTGTTATCTAGTGACTGAGCCCTTTTTTCTGTCGTCCTAAAAGTGAAAATCAGTTTTTACTTCTTTTTTTGTCACACTCAAACATTTTCTGAGAATTAAAATAAAGTTTTCTAATGATTTTATTAGTTAAAATGTCTTACTTTTGTTGAATACCTGACCTTAGCCAAGTGAGTCCTGTGGTGCTTTAGATATTCTGGGTTCTTAAATTCTTTAATTGGCTTTCCAAAAAAAAAAAAAGAAAAAGCAGTTTATTCATGTTTTAGCAATAAGGGACTCAATTCCATACACATCAAAGGAGATGCTTGGATATCATTTTTTCCTGTTCTGAATCATTAAAGTGGGACAAAAAAATTCTAAATCAGACATGGAAGGAAACAGGTTTTTCACTGTATGACTGTTCCAGGAATCTACCCCAGATGACAGAAAACTACCAAACACTTCTATTTACAGCAACATTCCAAGGCTTCAGCAAACACCGATGACAAAACCACATCAGATGGACTGAAGCCAAAATATTTAGCTTACTCCAGCTCAAGGACAGCTGAGGGAAAGCCTTCACGGATGAATGCCCTGACCTCAGATAAGGCAGTTTGTTTACATCAAATGGGTTTTCCGCTGGAACTCTGAAGAGAAACCTGCGTTCTTTCCCGTGGCTTATCCTGAGAGTTCACAAAACACTAGCTTGCTGTGTTTTCACTGCCAAACCGTTAACCTGCCCAGATGAGCCTCCAGTTATGTGTGCAGAGCTGACAGACTGAAACGGCGGTGACGTGGTCTCAGGCTGCAAAGAACATAAAATCATTCCAAGAAGCAGATCAGATCACCATGGTTACGCAGTGTAATAAGGTCAGCATGTGACGTTGGATGTTACGATCTTAAACTGCTAAAAGGCTTCGATAAGCAGCCACTCGTTGCAGTTTTAGCTTGAATAAGCTTTTGGAATTCTGTCCAGTCGTGTTTATGAAAAACACAGATTTCTTCATTTTAATCTAGTTAATGTGTTACTTGTGATTAATAACATTTCTAGGTAGAGCATGCTGCAGTGACTCCTAATGACAAAGAAACCCACAGAGACTAAAAATAGTCCCGTTCAGCAGTGCAGCTGCAGGAAACAACAAAGATCTGGGCAATTACAAAGTGTATTTATGGAAGAAACAGCTGACGCAAGAAAAACTATAAGCTAGGGCTGAACGACATTAGCAAACCTGCGATATGCGATAAGTGATTAATATTGCGATGACGATATTACTTGTGATAAATAAAAACTTAATTCAGGAACAAAAAAAATCAAAAACAGAAATAAAAAAAATGACAAAAAATCATAAAAATGAGAAAAGCAAAAGATGAGAGGAATGGGAAAAAGAAAATGAACAAGAAAAGGCAATCAGTGGATCCCGGGAAAAGCAGAATCAGCAGAAAGAGCGGAACAAAGCTAACTCAGGTGGTTGCTAACCATCTAAATTAGGTGTCGGGGGCGGGCATCTTACCTACGAGAACCCACCCAATTGGAAAATGGGTGAAGAGCTCAATTTGATTTGTTAAAAAAACATCATGCTTCTGTTTGATTGACAGAATACATTATGTGTAGTAAACATTTGAGCTGACCATCCATTGCGATATTTATCTGTTCTTTGTGACATGCATATAGCACATGCTGATATCACGATAACGATATATCTGCGATACATTGTGCAGCCCTTCTATTCACATTAGACGGTAAAGTGGTACATTAACTGGAGTGGGATGTGCTGAAAATGTACAAAACGATAAAAAACTAAGCATGATCCATTTTATTGTTTAATATTACAGGTGTAATAAAACTTACACTTCCTGGTGCTTTATGCACATGAAAAAGCTTGATTTGATTTATAAAGAAGCCAAACTACAGAAATTTCTCTTAGGTGGAACATTCCTGCTGGCTAACACAACCACTCAGAGTTAAACTTCGCTTTACTCAAACGTGTTAAATATGACAAACATGTAAAACAAAGATTTTGTCACAACTTCTGTTCTGCAATAGCAAAAACATTTACTGTGACTGTGTGTTTGGTTCAAAAGTCCGATAAATTCAATTATTAAAGAGCGTTGTACTCCACACACTTGGATGGATCAGTCGGGAACTGCTTCTGGCAGATGGTCATTAGCCTCTTCAATCCCTGTAGCAACAAAAAAATTAATGAATACAGATATTTACAAGAAATTTCATTTTCATCATCTAGTGTCTATATTTGGAGTTGTTTGATATCGCTTACTTATTTAGTATTTTTAAGCTCCAGTGCCCCTGTAGCAGGACATAGAAGTCAGCTGGAGGAGAACGTAACTTCAGACTTCCTGATGTTTGGACATCTCGCCTCTGATTGGCTAACAGCAACACAGCACTACCACTGACTCTGTTTGCTCTGCAAGGCCAATGATTTATCTCCACAAATAACACAAGCCTGGAGGAGTTCTGCCATGTGGTGGAGTCGCTAATGCTAATGGTTAGCTTCTATTAGCTGAAACATTCTCTGCGGTTTCCTGGACGCTAAACCAACAACAGCCTTCCCCGTCGTGAGTCAAGATGGATGAGTCAATAATGTTAAGTTCACAGTGTGACATAGATCTGTCAGGATTTTCGAATCCTAGAGTTTCACCTTCTATTTTCTATCAGAAGCTGATGCAGGGCATGGGTGTAGGAGACTATTTCCATGTTCAGCCTGCATGAAAAACTCAAGAGTGACTGATTATAATAGAAATAATCCTTAAAAAATGGGGTTTCAGTGAATCACATCATTAATAGCATTTTTCATAATTAACATTTTGTAACAAAAATAAAACAATAGTTGATCTCCCAACACATTAAGAAGAGCCACACTCTGAAGTCGAACCCCGACCCAACAAGGTGACTCACCTGAATGTATTTTCTCTGCGTTTCATCGTTGAGAACGTGGGCCACGTGTTTGGAGAAGATCTTTTCACGCCCAGTACGAGCATGGATACCAACCATAGTCACACCAATAGGCCATGGAGCGTTACCAATGGCCATCTGTAGATACGCATCATTCGCCTGGGATGAAATTTGTTGGAAGTCGTTAAAACGTGCCGTGATTTATTAGTAATGGCAACAAAGACATTGTAATATTAAATGACCTTGACATATTCTCTCTCCAACATGAACTTAATGATGTCTGTGATGGATTCTTTAATGTCAGCTGGTAGATTCTGAAAGAAAGATGATTAAAAAACAAATGAATGACTCCACTTGTGGTGAGCTCACGGCAGAGTTTGCTTTGCTATCTCCCTCCTTCTAAAGCTTCACCTTCTTCCTGAGCTTTTTAAAGAGAGGCTCGAGATAAGACTCGGTCTGTGAGTGTGTGGCACTGGCCACTTTCCCCTGAACGCTGCGCTTCACGTGGTCTTCTCTGCTGTTCAGATCTTTGGCCCAAACACCAAGAAGAAACTACAACCCAAGTAGAATATGTAAATATTAGAACACACACATATGACGTACCCTTGAAAGGTTGCATTAAATCAAATAACTAAACATTTGATTACTGACGCAACATATTTACTAAATCTGATGTGTAATAATCAATGCTTTACTCATTCATAACTAATAAAATGAACACATGAATAGAAATCTCAGTAATGTTGCAAATATTTTTACCCAACAGCTCCCTCTAGATATGAACATAAGCACCTTTTTTTTTTTTTGCTTTACCCTTAAAAATTTGGCGATAACGTCCTGATCTCCACTATCATCGCCTGTACCCAACGTTTTCCCAAGAGCCTGGGGTGACAATAAATACAGCATTAATCAACAGAGTTTATTAAATGTCATTTAGCATTATTTACATAAATACATAATTCAGTAAATGTCATCATATACGTTGAGCATTGTACCTCCAGCTCTTCCATAGTGGTGTTTTCTTCGTGAACCTTCAGGTCATGTTGTGTGTCCACATCCCCCGACTCCGTTGCACCGACAATCTCGTTCAAATATTGCTGGTCAAGTTTGTCCATGGCTGCTTTCAGGTCATTTCTCAATCCCTGAAATCAAGCAGAATAGTTACCAAGTTATTAAAACACTTAAGCAGCTTTGTTTATCCTTAAGGAAGATGAAGTTTTACATTTAAGGGAAATGTATCGGAGAGTTTCAGGACGTTTTGGTGCTAATTTATTCTAATACCTGTAGCATGAATGCTTCGTATCCTACCTTATTCACTTCTGGGGTGAGGATCTCAATTTTCCTCAGTCTCTGGAAGGCATCATAGTCGGATTCTCCAAACAATCGGATCGGTTCACCTCGTTCTCGAAGCCGTCGAATAACCTGCAAAAACCGATAAGAAAATCTTTATTGTTCAATGTTTAAGGGAAAAAAAGACAAGTAGAGAGATATGAAATTTTAGGGCCGATATCGATATCAATATCACTGTTATGGCCGATAACCGATATTTGCCTATATTGATATACTGACATGGATGCTTATAAAATCAGCAATTTTGTATAAAATGAATATTATTAAAGCTGAATTTACATTATTATGTACACACACATTTATGCTTCTGAGATGATTACATTCACTGTTCCCATGACTAAACAATTACACATCATTTTTACAGTTATTTTACAGTTCTATACTTTAATCCTCCAGTGTTTCCTCTGCGGAGCCCTCCGCCTTGGGGCCGGTGGTTGGCGGCGCTCCTCGGGCAGTGCCCGGGCAGTGGTGGAGGTCTCCGCCCTCCCTCCCTGGGCGTCATGGGCCGGTGTCTTGGCTGCTGCCGTGGATCTGTTGCTGTCAAGGCAGATGGCTCCGCTGATAACGTGTCGTCCATTACCTGACCCATCTGAACTCAGCCTATTGTTTACTCTGTTGTTCATGTGGGTGTGTGTGTGTGTGTGCGTGTGTGAGTGTGCGAGTGTGTGGGTGAGTGTATGTCCACCTTGGAAATTGGTTGCGGGAGGGGAACTGCAATTGTCAATTGTTTTATACTTGGGGAGGGGGACTGGGATGGGAATATGGGATCTATGGGGCCACCTGTGAAGCACTTTGAGTTGCTGTTTTTTTTTTGTATGAAAAGTGTTATATAAATAAAGTTGATTTGATCTGATCTGACATCACCCCCTCACCCTCTGAAGCAGGCAAACAAAGGGAGATGTGATAGAAAAAATATCGGTTGTCATTATCATTCCGGTTTTAATTACCGGACCGATAAAAAAATGACTAACATCGGCCGATACAGATATTGATGTCGATATATTGTCCATACCTACAAGCTGTTTCGAATTTGCTCACCTCCTGTCGGGACAGAGTCATCGGCAGCTTCTCCTCGGTCAATTCCAGCTCCAATACTGGATTAGAAGAAGTAGAGGGTTCATTCTCCTCATTCTTGTCAATCTTAGGGACAAAATGAAAAAACAAACATACCAACATTAATGAAAGACAGTTGAGACAACACTGAAAATGTGTTTTCTTGCAACATTTACATAAATAAATATGTAGAAAAAGTGTTGAAATGAATATGTGCCATCAAACTTGATTCAGCAACATTCACATGTTCATCTTTATGTCATAATGTGGTGTTGCTGTAATCAGATTGATTTCATTAGATGTGGTCTGAACATTGCACATTCTAACACTTGTTGCAGGAAAAACATGTACAGTTCAGTTTAAAACAAAGATGACTGGAAAACAACATCATGCATTAAGGGACTCATGCAATACAGCACTGTCAGGTTGTGGTTTCAGAAGCCCAATCTAAAAAACAAAACAATAAAATGGTGACAAAAGGCCTTCTTAAAACCAAAAACACATGTCTCTTGCTCAAATAAACAAAACACATGAAGAAGAAGAATCACTTCAAGGGTTTAGTGTTTTAAAGCTTTAAAAAACTTGAACAGAATTGCAATTTTTTTATGAAACTTTTGGAATGTGTGGCCAACTAATAACACAAAACAAGAAAACACTTGAACTTGGTCTAAATATTGCAGCTTCTGTCCAAATTCATTTGCAAAATAAAGAGCAGAGCTTTGACTTTGTAGCCCAGTACACCATGCTGAAATCCAGAGAGTGGCTGTGTCCCACTTTAGCTTGCATTTGTTGCTTCCTTTCCTTGTTACCCTGCCTTTCAAAAAAATATTTTAGAACTTCACAAAAACATTATATACTGGGGTTGTTAATAGTATTTCTGGGACAAAACAAAAAATTATAAACTGTTCTGAGAAAGGTTAAAGTGGAGGAAGTGTGTTTAGGTACAGCTCAATAATTTTAAGCAGATAATATGCATTTACTTTGTTGGATTTAAAATAAAAAACTAGTTATTTGGATAAAAATGCCAATTAAGTTTGGCATAAACTGCAAGAACTTGTATTTTCACAACCCTCATCAACTGATGTCCTCCAAGAAAAAAAGTCCCCATCAAATGAAATGCCACTTCATTCTGAGAGGATGCCAAGGAAGCGGAAGCATTTGGGACACTGAGTGTTTATCCTTTCATCATGCAACCTGTTTACTACTTTCACTCAACAATCCCATACCTGGCTCTCGGGAGTCTCTGCCTGAACCTACAGATGCAGGCAGCAGAGGCAGGTCGCAGAAAAACAGCACAGTAAACACAGATACTGATTTAGACCTGCACATTAAGTCCTAGCCTTTTGTTTTTAAGCAAACTGTTCATGTACTGTGTAACAAACTCCACCAAGTTTCATTCAATTGTTGTGTTGAAAGGGATCTTTAACAACTAGTCTTAGGAAAATTCCTAAATTGACAATGACCTAAAGAAAAAAATAATAGGAATACAGTTATTTAGATGTAATGGAGCGTGTTCGAGAAAGTAATGCAAACTGATCTTGACATTAACCTTTAATCCACAGCGTTTGAAGTACTCTTCTTTTTCCTTGCGAGCCAGATCAGCTCTTTTGAAGAATTTTTTGGAGTCCTGTTGAGAAAAAGTTGATTGATATGTTTAATCCTATTGAAAATTCAACCTGTAGGGCAGTTAAAGGAACATAATAACACAGGAACTCCCCAACAAGAAGCTACATGCTAACGTTTGCTCTCTTTCTTATCCAAGAAACAATGTGCAATAACCCACCCGATTTAAAAAAATCACAATTGACAGAGAACAAGCTAAATAATTCGTTTAGTTTAGAAACACAACACACAATTAATTTGAAATTCAAAGCAACAAGGTAGTAAGACGCGTTACACAAAAATGACTGAAGCACGTTTCAAGATCCGCTTTTTACGTTCAACGTAAAGATCTTACTGACACATTTAAATTTATACATGTAACGTTATTTTCCACGTGTGCAGAGTTCATAAGAGCACCGACGAGAGTAAGAAAAGCAATAATCATGGAAAGTGTTGACTTCAAACTTCCAGCTAACTCAACGCTAGCTAACAAAGCTAAATGTTAGGCTAACAAAAGCAGATTAAAAACCACAAAATACTCACATCAATGAGCTCTTTTTCCTCTAGAAGTTTTCTCTTTCTTGCTATTTCAGCTTTAAGTATATCCATTTCAGAAGAATATTATGAAAATGTCTTCTTTTGCGGATAGCTGAAGAGTGTTGACATCAAATGTAGAAAAAGGTTGACGTCCAGGGCTTAAAAACGGAAACAAAAAATTCAACATAAGAGCCTTAAAAAGTTCATTTCCTTTTTTCAAAATAAAAGACCAACTCCCAAATGCGACACTTCTGGAATGAACAGTTTTATTCTAGAATGAACCTGGTATGAACCTATATGGCTATGTTAAGAAGATTTCATTTACACTAAAAACTTTAAAATTTGAAAAGTATAAAGCTACACTAGTTGTATCAGATTTTCTCAAATTTATAAATTATATATAAACCTATTTGAATTTTCTTAAGATAACACAGTAAAATTAAATGAAAATGTACAGCTGCATCTATTTATATTATTTATGTATAGAAGCAGTTGTACATTGTGTGTGTGTGTGTTTCTGAAAAAAATTGAAACGCTTAAAAATAACAAAAGGAGACGAAATTACATAAAAGCCTCCAAAAGTGTTTCAAATTAGACACATCTCAAAGAAAGACAACAGTAGTGGCATGAAAAAAGACTTAATTGGAGAACATTTAGAGGAAAAATGGTTGGAAAGTAAATGTAAATATCTAGGTATTCCAAACTTTGACAGACAACACTGGATTCCTGTAATACTCAATAGAGTTTGACCTTTTTATGCCACATTAGATATTTTCTGTCACATCATGTTTATGCTGTTAAACAAGTAAATTCTGTTTTGAGCAGCGTTTTAGATCCAGTTTAATTCAAAAAGCCTTTTAAAAAGTTCTGTAGCTCCTTCAACCTGACTGCTTTTGCTTAGATTTCAGTTTGTTGTCCAGTGGCAAAAGCCTTGTGCTCGACCTTTTAAAGGATACCATCAGGTGGCGCAAAGGGATATGTGACGAATTCTTAATAATAAAGTCATTAATGTATTTACATGGCGAAAGGGAAGGACCGCCGTCATGCTGGGAGAGGGGATGCATGTCCACAATTTTTTATTCCTGGAGAATTTTACACCCAAACGTTGGGAAATCTTCCGATGACAAGAATAGGCGAATTTTCTAACTGATTAATGAAGCAGACGGACAGTGATTGTGCTGAGTGAAAAAATAAAAAAAAATACAGATTTTGTCTTGGAGCGAAATCCGACGGCACGACTTGCTGGATATTCCCGTTGAGGATGGAGTTTGGAGAACGGAAGAGGAGAAGGAAATCCCAGAGCTTTAAACTGGTCACGGATGAAGGTAATGCTGCTGAATGAAAGCGAGACCTTAACAAGACGCGCTCATGTGTCTGGGTGTTTGTCTGGCGCCGTGTGCCAGCAGCAGAGACAAAAGCGATGGCCACGACAATACCCAGTCTATGCATCGATTTTCTATAAATAAATCCCCAAGAGCCAACCTTTCAAACAAGAAAACGAAACAGAAATTCTCCTCACATGGTCCAGGCGTTTAAATTTTTAAAAAAGAAGAATAATTAATCAAAAACGTACACATCTGTTGCGCATTTATGTCATGCGACTCGAAGCTTTTTATATATTATTTTTTGCTACTAAATACCTTTCTCTAAACTACTTCATACCTACAGGTGGTGGTTTGTGCATGGATGGGAGGGGGGCTGGTTTACATCAGAGCACACCAGTCTGCAGACACTTTGCATCACAAGTTTTGCTGCAATTTTTTCTTATTTTGTTATTAAAAAAACAATTTTATGTGCAGATTGTGACCCTTCATATGTTGCAAGTTGCAAGAATGGCAACGAGGGAGCTAATGATGCAGCTGTACCTGGTGGTATTCTGATTATTTTTTTATATATTGCATGACTGCAAAATGATGCTCTAACCACCTTCTGTTAAATGCAGTTTGGCTTGATGAGAGCATGGGGATCAAGAGGCAAATCACGGGTATGATGAGACTTCTGAGTGATAAGACTGGGAGGGCATATCAACAGGTTGGAAGTGAGTCAAACAGCTTGCCTCAGGAGCCCCAGGATAAAGATCTGAACAGCCTGCACCAGACACAAATTCCATCTCCTGCATCACATCGTCACCGCAGCTGGAGCTCTGAGGGGGACCCTGAGCCGGCATCTTCATCCATAGCGAGCCCCACTCTAAACGGTCAAGCCTGTGGTCATAGCACCCTGTCCAAAAGCTCCAGGAGCCTCAGCAGCTTAAAGGACTCAGTCAAACCCAGTAATACAAATGGTAGGGAATCTTTGAATCTCAGGTCATTATATTTTAAAATGTTTGCAAAAAATTCAATTTCCTCTTAAGTTTTTGGTCAACGTCAGCATGAAAGCACATTGGACATGTTAAAGCTGACAGTGACTAAACAAATCAACACTGACTTTGCAGGAGAAGTGCTCCCTCCTGCTGTGCCTGAAATCCCCTGCTGCATGTGTAACTGTAAAGACACCTTAGAGGCTATACTCCAGGAACTGAGAGCAATGAGGAGGCTGATGCAAACTCAAAAAGGTCAGAAAGGAGGAATCTTATACAAAATATATGGACAACCTAAAGGAAATCTTTTATTCTTGTGATTTTTTTTCCTCCATAGCACCATTTGAAAAGAAAGAACAGGCAGGATCACCATGCCAACCTTCCCTTGGTCCAGGTTCCTCTCCTCGGCGTACACCCCAAAAGAGAAGGCCGATCTATAAGGTGGCTCCACTCAGTGTGTACAGCACCAGAAGGGCACCCGCATCTTCCTCAGTGCTTAAACCAGTTACTTCTGAGTCCATGAGGAGGGAGGATTGTGAGAAACTAGACTCATCAGCACTCAACATTGGTTTGATTTCCTGTAATGTGTCTGCGCAGCCACCTCAGGTCAGCAACACACACGATCCTCCCCTGAACCAACCAAAGGAGCATCAAGTGTTAGAGGTAACACGCTCAGTGGTGTTGATTAGGGTTCAGTCTGTGGCTAAAATTTGACTGTTGAACTCTTTGGCATTAACTACCTGCAGGACCTAGATCCTCCACTAGAGGACACAATGTATGTTTAGGATTAGGTTTTTGATGAAAGTACAAATCCTGTTTAAGAGGCAGAGTTCTGAGGGAGGGTCTGCTTTTTCTTTCCTTTGCTAAACTCTGATGATAAACTATTTGAAAAGATTTCAGGAAGTTAAATTTTAAAGTTACATTCACAGTACTGGAGCTATAATGCTAAAGGTGGTGATGCCTTCATAAAGACTGCTTTAATCACCTCTCCTGGTTGATAACTTTACCATAATGATTAATATTTCCTTTTCACTCCCTCACAGTCTGACGTTCGTCTTGCAGAGGACTATGATGTTTTCATCTCCAAGGCCCAACTGGACTCCATCCTAGTAAATTATACCCGCTCTGGCAGCTTGCTGTTTCGCAAACTGGTACGCTTCTGGGATTTTAAAAAGCAAAAATTAAACATACTTCTAAGATCAGGAGCTGTGTTTTGTCCTTAGGTGTGTGCCTTCTTTGATGACGCTACTCTGGCCAACTCTCTGCCAAATGGCAAAAGGAAACGTGGGCTCAATGACAACCGTAAGGGTTTGGACCAAAACATTGTGGGTGCAATTAAAGGTAAAACAAGATCAATTCACTCTTTGTTGCTGGCATAATAAAGACAGATGTTCTAATTATTTGAGTGACTTGTGGCCAGTGTTTACAGAAAAATACTGCACCAATCACAGAATAGAGAAGTTGCCAGGGCCTCGAGATTGGGTGCAGATCCTTCAAGACCAGATCAAACTTGCAAGGAGGAGGCTGAAACGAGGTCTGAAGCAGTCATTTGTTTTCTTTAAGTAAAATAAACAAGTTGCATATCGAAAGCTGTTCTGTTGGGTCAATAGATGCTGCAGAAGCTGAGGAAAGCTCAACTGGACCATCGACCAGTAAGAACCTCACACAAAACTGCCTACATTTGCACTGGTTCTTCATCTTACATCACCTTTTCATCAGCCCCCCTCAGAGCACACAATGGCTTCACCTCTCCTCACTCCATTGTCACAACACACCCACAAATTGGTGTCTCTGGCTCCCTCATTGGCTCACCAGGCTATGGCATGCTTTCGCGCTGACATTTGACATTTTCATGCAGCTTCCCAAAATGTCAGCTAATTATCTTCACAACGTGCATCGTTTTCACTCTTTCACCTTTACAACGTAGCCACAGCTGTCAAATATCTAAATTCTCTACTTGCCACACATGCTTACATAAAATTCGCTGTTGTTTTGTTTTATAGTTCACAGCATTAAATTATATACTAACAATATTTTCTTCCTATACAGGCTGTGATTATAAGAAACCTGAATGTGCCGAACACACACTGAAGAATGTAACGTGTTGATTCAACAGCTGCCTCGGCTGGAGTTCAGCTGATTATTTTTGTCCTCGTTATTTCTCTAACTGTAAGTGTTGGATTATGCCATTTTGCAACTGTTAACTATTAGGTAAAATGGGTAAAAGAAAATAAAAGGGCCAAACGAGAAAGCACCCATCATGAGCAAATATGGTTTACATTGTGTTAAATGAGCAGTCCATGATTGACATCCTTTTGGATCTGGAATTTTGTGCCAGGAAATACTGATGTAATAAAATAAAATAAGTGATTTATTGTTCACGGTTTAAGCAAATGCCTAAAAGGTGTGGAACACTCATTCAATCAATATGTTTGCAGTAGGAATGAATGCCTTATTAGTCGTACTTGGGGTGCACTGATGCACCATTTCCAGGAACTAGAAGTGAGCCACATCACAGCTGAGCTTCAGACGGCATGTTTTGGAGTCTGATTTCCTGAAATTCGGACAGCTAAACAGCTCTACCACTGACTCTGTTTGCTTTGCAACGTTGATTTTTATTTCCATATAAGCCTGGAGGAGTTCTGCTGTGTGGTGAAGTTGCTGATGCTAACAGTTAGCTTCTACTAGCCAATACATTCTCTGCTGTTTCCTGGATGTTAAATAAACAACAGCCTTCCCTGTTGTGGTCAAGATGGGTGAGTCCATGGGTATTTCTCAATGTCAAGGAGCCTGGCCTCGCTTACGAGGACACTGTCCTTCCTTGGGCAAAGGAAACGGTTAAATGGAACAGACTTGCATGACATGACCACAACTTCCACGGCGGTCATGTCTTGTCACGTGATACATGAGGTAACGTTATATTTTATGTGTATGAGTTTCAATATAAACGTATAACAAGCCTTATACTTTTTAAATTGTGTACATATGTAAGCAACTTATACCTGTTAGCAACCGAATCTGCAACTACTATAGGCAACTATAGATAACTGCTTTATATATATATATATATATATATATATATATATATATGCTATATTCTGGGAAATTTTTTGACCAGGGCCAGGCTACAAGGCACCTCCCGTGTATCCTTGCTCAGCTCAGCTAGGATGCCTCGGTAGAACATGAACATTGGAACACACCTTGGCGGTTCCTGATGATGTTTCTCTTAGGCAACCGGGGCAGGACCAAGACGTCAAGTCAAAGTTCCTTCACATTAAGAAACACCCCATGAATGTTTGGTGACAATGTGATGTAGATCTGTCAGTCTTTTCAAATCGTTGAGTTTTCACCATCTAGTTTGCATGCAGGAGCTAGGCGTAGAATTTTTTCATGTTCAGCCTGCATCTCAGAGTGGCCGATTATAATAAAAAATAAGATCTTAAAAGTGGGGTTTCAGTGTTCTACACCTTTAAAGAAAATTTGCCAATATAATGGAGATCAGACATATCGAACAAGGCATAATGCTGTAAAAATGAACAGCATTAAATTATTGTTAGGACAACTCATCTCGAAAGAGGTTTTTCCATTGTGGATTGTGCCTTTTAAGTGACCAGTGGTTCAATGGGTGTAATGTGCAGCATCCACCTTGTTTGCAAACCTTATACTCAAAAGCGATGCATATTTGGTTAATTTTTTATAATTAATTTTACATTGATTGGTTTAATTGTAATGTAAAAAACAATAGTCCTCTGTAAATATTTATTTTCAGTATTTTATGTATGCATCTTAAAGCTGTTCTTTTCAATCCTCTGATGAAATCATGTATTTTATTTATAAATTTGCTCACTGTGCATTTGAATAAATACTGATGTTGCAGCAGCTGATTTGTTGCAGGCTATTGTATGAGAGACCAACTAATGGACAAAATTGAGGTCTGTAAATACACATGAATACATGCTTGACTGTAACATCTTCTAATATAATACCTTAGTTACAACGCATTCTGAAATATTTAGATTTCATAATAAAGTCAGAGAAGAATTAGGGAAAATAAACGCGAGAAAAGATGTCAATTAAAAAAAACTTTTGTGTGATTAATGGGTTTGGGAACCAGGGTGTTTTTAAAATGACGATTTAATGTATGAAATATGTAGCATGCTAAATAACGAGGCGTTCTCTCTGGGTAGAAATCATATTTCAGTGTCTTTATCATTAAAAAAAGATACATTTGTGACGATCATGACACTGAAATCCAGTTAATAATACTGAAATTATTTAAACAAGTCACAACCATGTTTTTTCTCCTTTGTTCATGTTGAAGGAAGATTTGCCATAAAATAAAGATTTTATTGTAAGAATATGAAAACAGATCTTGATCTCATTTCTTGTCAGGAAATGAGGTAAATATAGTATGACTTTGTTTTTACATGGACAGTTTACTGTTGAGGGTAAAAGGAGGGAAAACACTAAATTAAAGGTACACTCCATTGTATCAATAATGTTGCCAGACTTTTGAGTTTGTTAAAGGGGATGTCGACGCGGCCACCGCGCAAGCTGAGGACCCATTGTTATCTGGTTAATTTCCTCCTTGGTTTAACAACTCATTTTTTATCAGTAGAGATAAAATGTAACCGTTGAAACGACAAATTATCAATAGATTCAATATTGCATGGTATTTCCTTTTTAATCGCATATTTTAAAGTAAACGTATAATAATAATGTGTAATTTTTAGTCAGGCATTATCTAAGGGCGCCCATTTGCAGTCTCGTGCATTCTGGTGTCGTCCCCGCTCTTCTGTCGGGATCCACCGCTAACGTGAAGCTGGTAAGGATAAACTGCTCTGAAGAATTAAAGGGGAAATGTTGCAAGAATATAACCCAGTTTCATCGTTAAACTCTCACCTAGGGCAAATATAATCACGTATACTGCATGATATCATTTCAGAGTTTGCACAAGTAGGACATTGAGCGCTCTTCTAGTGATACTAACGCTGATGTTGCACACATCGCATGGCGAGGGAGATGAAGGGGTTAAAATTTTCCGCCGCCGACATTTTTATTCGGCGCTCTACTGCAACTTTTTAACTTATATGTGTAAGGAGCTACTTTAGTGGCTCCTCACGACTAATTACATTTCAGTAGTGGTGTGCAAATTGTGTGTTTTAGTTGTGTTTCGATTACGCTAGCGGCTCTTTGTTACATACAACTGCTTTAGCTCATCACCTCATGCATGGATCAGCGTTTGCTAACCACAGCTAGCAGGGACTCAAAAACATGCATTTCAGCACAACACGGAGACGTAGAGGTCCAACAAACACGATGGCCTCACATATTTTAAATCAGCCTCCGTGTATGATCCATATTGTAGCTTGCATTAATAAATTTAATCACTGAGAGTGTTGGCATAAGGGTTGAATGAACGTGGGATCATTTTGTGTTTTGAACACGCCTCCAGTCAGAACCAAAACAGGCCCCTTGGGAAACTTATTCTGTTTTTAACAGCAAATTGGAATAAACTAGTGAGTAACTAGATTTTATTTTTTTAATTAACACATGAGTTACTTGAGTTTTCTATTGGTTTTAAATTAAAAATACACCCACTTTGACATAAGGATCTTTAGCTTTGTTAGTAAATTCAATAGTTCTGTGTATGAATCAGAATATCATGTGGATGGATAAAAATATTGCCTATGTAAACGAGTCGCAGATAATTAGAGATGATGAAAATATATCTCTTTTTCATTGATTTCAATTTTTTTTATGGAATAACATATCTATTTACTGTAAATAATAATAAAACTATGCTGATGCCAATCTGTAGACTACTTACCATCTTACGAGAATTTTGACAATGCCATTTGATTATCATTTAAAAAGCACCCAGATATTGATACTTTTGTTCTAAATTATGTAAGCTTGACAAAATTTATATTGTTTTGAGCTCTGCTTTATTAAACCATATTTGTGTCACTTGATTAAAGAAAATACAGACAAATGCTTTGGCATTGCATAGAGGTGAATTCATTCAGTCCTTTTCCCCCCGTCTACTTTTGGGTGGTTATTTTCATTTCAGTGGTGAGGACCCAGTATCTCATCAGAAATGTCTGTGAGGGAGCCTTTTAACCCTGAAAGCTACGAGCTGGACAAGAACTTCAGGCTCACACGCTATGCAGAGCTCAAGGGCACGGGCTGCAAGGTTGGCTGTCTCTAAATATTTCAGTGGATTATTATCATAACTTTTTTTTAAACAGAAAAAAAATCCTTAAACTTATCACAGGTACCACAAGATGTGTTACAGAAGCTGCTAGAATCCTTACAGGAGAACCACTACCAAGAGGATGAACATTTCCTGGGAGCAGTCATGCCTCGGTTAGGTAATAATGATCATATCGTTTTATAACAGCAGACACTTCCGTTTTAGTGATCTTTTTCATCCATGACAGAAAATATTAGCTGGTTATGAATTTGTTACCTTAATAATGTATTTTGTACATTCGAGTACATAAGTGGGCGTGTCCCACTCACTCCAGAGACATTTCTTTTTGTGAATTTTGTTATTTTTATAATACTTTAAGAAACATGACATTATTGACTTTGAGGGTATTTTTCTTGCACTTTTATTATTATTATTATTTTTGCAAATTGTTTAGGAAACGCTGCATTCATTTTTCATTGTTGTTTTAAAAAGGCATAGGCATGGACACATGTGTCATCCCTCTCAGACACGGTGGGCTTTCTCTTGTCCAGACAACAGATTACATCTATCCTATTGTGGATGACCCCTACATGATGGTATGGATTTTTTTTTCTAAGTAGTGGTTTACACGACAAAAGGAGACGTCTTTATTTTGGAGTTGGATGTAATTTTAAACATGAAAAAATACTTCTGTGCCTCATTTTCACAGTTTCTGTGTTTTTAGGGAAGAATTGCTTGTGCCAATGTTTTAAGTGACCTGTACGCCATGGGAGTGACGGAGTGTGACAACATGTTGATGCTTCTGGGAGTCAGCAACAGAATGTCAGAGAAAGTAAGATAGATGGGGCTTGTACATTTTCTAATGATCAAAAAGTGATGAAATGAGTCTGCAACGAAAATTATAGCTTTCTAACTTTTATTATCGTTGTTGATATAAAGAATGTCCAGGATTTTTTCAAACAAACTTGAAAATAATCAATTACTCTTGAGTTTATGTTGGTGAAAATAGTCTTCCCCTATTTCCTGCTTTAGCTTCTGTTAGAAAATAGACAGAAAATGCTTTAATCAGAAAAGCCTGACAGATCTACATCACACTGTCACTTAAAGAGCAAGTCACCCCCTACCAGAGTCTCACACACACACACACACACACACACACACACACACACACACACACACACACACACACACACACACACACAGGCTCACAATGACATTGTGACCTCATAATGTGCCAGCTAACATCACAGCGTACTTCTTAGCCAATAGCGGTGGTGGATTTAAATTCAAATGCATTGCAGATTTTTTACCTGACGACTATGCAACACTGACAGTTTTAGGCAGAATATTTAAATATTAACTAAGATGCACTAAAGTGCCAAATTATTGAATTCACATGTCTACGGCACAATTAGACACTTGTTTATATGGTTTATCAGCAAAAACTAGTTGATTTGGGGGTGACTTGCTCTTTAACATTCATGGGCTCACCTATCTTGACTCGCGACAGGGGTGGTTGTTGGTTTAGCATCCAGGAAAGAGCAAAGCATGTCTGGACTAGTAGACGCTAGTAATGCGCGGTATAACTGGTATATAGTTGATATGATATAAATTTAGCCACTGGTAGAGAATTTGACTGTCATCCAACTGCGATTGTGCATGAATGTTGTCAAGCTGCTTATGTCTTGGACGAATGCAGCAGCAGCTGCAACAGCATGGAGCGCATGGATGAAGACGTGCCCATAAAGCAGATGGGGTAATGTTAGTTATACAAACCTGGTTTGGGTTTAAGGAGTCAGATGTTGAGCAGAAAACCATCTGTGATCAAATATTCTGGATGACAGTCAAGACCTAACTAGGGCTGCAGCTATCGAATATTTTCGTAATCGAGTACTCTATCGAATCTTTTATCGATTAATCGAGTACTCTAATAAATTACTCTTTTGTGTTTGTAAACCATTATATCAAATAGCATGTTATAAAATATGAAAGACCTCTTAAAATGAGCACGCAATTCCCAGTATTCTTCAAGTTTTGTTCAAAATTAGTTTTCAAAACTTCAGCACTTCAACTTTACTTCACAGTAAACAAATGCCTGTGCAAAAAAAATAAGTATACAACCTAAGCCGATTTCTCCCTCGTGTGAGAAACTACTAGCCTGCAAGCCAGACAAAAACTAGGAGATAACTGTTGAAGTAGCACAGCGAACGGCTGCGGCCCAAACAGCACCAGAACCGCTCAAGGCGCATGCACAAACATGGCTCGCCAGCTATTTCCCTATTAACACAAGTCCTTTTTAATTTCTACACTTTTTTTTTCTCACACAATAACAAGGATTTTTTTCTGGAACTGCGCTGCTCTGGGTGGCTGCATGTTGGAGTAGCTCTGTTGACTATATGTAAGTTTTGCCTTTTCTTGGGCATTTTTCCTTCTAGTTTCTCAAGAAAAACTGTATTTTTTTGGACACTTTACTTTTCTGTTTCTGGTGCTGTGAAGCTTGGAGGATTTTTACTGCTATTTTTAAGCTTTTTTCACTTTTAGAGCATTTGTTATGATGCGTAACCATGGCAACAAACTGGTTTGCAGTCGGTGTGTTTGCTGACTTGAGTCTTCCAGAGAGCAGCTCTAGCAGGTAATAAAACATCCACAAACAACCCAGGGTAATAAAACATCCACAAACAACCCAGCCCAACATCCGAAATGTTTAGACTTTCAGATTTATCTGAAGTGTTTCCTGTGCTTTACTGGGAGACTTTAACATCCCTCAAGGTAAACTGGTTTTATCATTTATATACATCATTTTATATACACCTGCTGGAAAAAACAAAATAAACAACAACCCCTTAAGCAGGTCAGATTACAGATAAACAGCCAAGATAAAACTCATTTGAATCTGAAATACGAGTTATAAACGTACATTTCTTTAACTACACCTACATGCTATCTGCCGTGTACAGTAGTGGTGTCTGGAGAAGGGACTGATCTTTATTTCTGCACCAGTTTGACAGAAATAAAAATAAATGCCACTTTTTCATCAGTGAATAAGTTATAACTTTAATAACATTAAGTGAACAAACTATTTTGACTTGTTTACTTTTAAAAATGAATCCATCAGCTAATAGAAGAGTCATTTGGCTTGATTTAGCAAACAGAAAAGTCAAGAGGCTCAACTGCAGGTTATCTTTTTGTACGTATTTAACTTCTAAGTAACTTATAGTTTTTGTCACATTGCTCTTTGATTAAACACTACCAGGAAAACTGAAATCTCTGTTTAAATTTATAACCTTTACTGCTATATGAGCATCAAGACCAAAGAGAAATTTATTTGATGTCAAATGGTTTGTTATTTGTCTGAAGAGGATTGTATCATCTTCTTTAAGTTCTGATATCTTTTATTAATATATTTCTACGTCATCAAACATCTGGTCTGTGATCCGATCATTATTATGCATAAGAGGTACACCTGATGATGACTCCTTTTATGTTAAATCGTGTTTAGAGGGACAGGATGACAGAATTTAAAATGCAAACAAAAAATAAATCTTTTAAAAAGTAATGAAGTTATTGAATATAATATAATATGTAAAGCTTTTTTATTTGTACTTTACTTATTTTCTTCAGGTCTACTTTTTAATTTTACTTCACTAATTTTTAAAGCCACTATCTGTACTTCCTACTTCACTACAATAAGCAGCCTAGGTCTCTTCCCTTCCCAGTCGGCTCATGGGTCCCCGGAAGAACGAAAACATGAATGCAAGTCAACGGGGCTAAAAACGCAATTTTCTAATCCGCTTTGCCTTACGTCCTGGATCACACACACATGTTGTACTTCAATTTAAATGTAATCCAACGATGGGTGTTTCAATCACGCCAGTCACGTACTTTGAAATTTATCAGCTTGTTAAAGTTTGATGTTAGCATGACTTGAAATCTGTCATCAGCACAATGCATATATGACGAAACCACAGAATCTGCCATTTTCCCTTCTGTTTTTCTCTGTGTCTGCTTCGATGATGTCACTTTCATAAAGCGCATTTGTAGTCCTGGACTTATTACACAAAACTTAAAATAACGTCTCCCCCCATTTCGAAAATAAGCTCGTTCTTGGTATTAAAATGCATCTTCACGGACATCATATGTGAAATCCATGGCACATAACAAGCAGAATTAGAAAATAGCGTCTTTAGCACCGTTGACTTGCATTCATTTTTTTGTTTTTCTGGGGCCCCGTGGTCCGGAAGTAGATGGACGTGACTTAGGCTCCCTATGGAGCGCTGTCTGTCACCTATGATAGACTGTCACTATGGTAAAGCTATGGAATCTTGCGTTACCGTAGTTACAGCTCAGGTGCATCGTTTAAAATGCTTTATTATTAAGGCTAGAACCTTTCAGACTTCAGTATAAGTTCCATCTGGAGTGAGTAGGACCTTTTCTCTGCGGTCTCTGTGTTTGCTGACTTTAGTCTTCCAGAGAGCAGCTCTAGCAGGTACAACCCAGCCCAAGAGCTTTTTTCACTTTTTGAGCATTTGTTATGATGTGTAACCATGGCAACAAGCTGGTTTGCAATCGGTGTGTTTGCTGACTTCAGTCTTCCAGAGAGCAGCTCTAGCAGGTAATAAAACTACCCACAAACAACCCAGCCCAACATCTGACATGTTTAGACTTTCAGATTTATCTGAAGTGTTTCCTGTGCTTTACTGGGAGACTTAAACATCCCTCAAGGTAAACTGGTTTTATCATTTATATAAAATACACCTGCTGGAAAAAACAAAATAAACAACAACCCCTTAAGCAGGTCAGATTACTGATAAACATTCAAGATAAAACTCATTTGAATCTGAAATATTTGTTATAAACGTACATTTCTATAACTAGACTAGGGCTGCAGCTATCGAATATTTTCGTAATCGAGTACTCTATCGAATCTTTTATCGATTAATCGAGTACTCTAATAAATTACTCTTTTGTGTTTGTAAACCATTATATCAAATAGCATGTTATAAAATATGAAAGACCTCTTAAAATGAGCACGCAATTGCCAGTTATTCTTCAAGTTTTATTCAAAATTAGTTTTCAAAACTTCAGCACTTCAACTTTACTTCACAGTAAACAAATGCCTGTGCAAAAAATAAGTATACAACCTAAGCCGATTTCTCCCTCGTGTGAGAAACTACTAGCCTGCAAGCCAGACAAAAACTAGGAGATAACTGTTGAAGTAGCACAGCGAACGGCTGCGGCCCAAACAGCACCAGAACCGCTCAAGGCGCACGCGCAAACATGGCTCGCCAGCTATTTCCCTATTAACACAAGTCCTTTTTAATTTCTACACTTTTTTTTCTCACACAATAACAAGGATTTTTTTCTGGAACTGCGCTGCTCTGGGTGGCTGCATGTTGGAGTAGCTCTGTTGACTATATGTAAGTTTTGCCTTATCTTGGGCATTTTTCCTTCTAGTTTCTCAAGAAAAACTGTATTTTTTGGACACTTTACTTTTCTGTTTCTGGTGCTGTGAAGCTTGGAGGATTTTTACTGCTATTTTTAAGCTTTTTTCACTTTTAGAGCATTTGTTATGATGCGTAACCATGGCAACAAACTGGTTTGCAGTCGGTGTGTTTGCTGACTTTAGTCTTCCAGAGAGCAGCTCTAGCAGGTAATAAAACATCCACAAACAACCCAGCCCAACATCCGACATGTTTAGACTTTCAGATTTATCTCAAGTGTTTCCTGTGCTTTACTGGGAGACTTTAACATCCCTCAAGGTAAACTGGTTTTATCATTTATATAAAATACACCTGCTGGAATAAACAAAATAAACAACAACCCCTTAAGCAGGTCAGATTACTGATAAACAGTCATGATAAAACTAATTTGAATCTGAAATGAGTTATAAACGTACATTTCTATAACTGCGTTAGTAGCTCGTTAACGCTAATTCCCTAAAATGCTGTTTGTATTTTTAACACATGCACACACAGGCAGTGAGTACAATAATCAAAAGGGTATAAACTTGGATAAACCTCCAACCTTATTTTAACATTACTGAGAAAAAAAATACAGCAAAGCATCATTTAACCTGCAGTTATTCACTACTGAAAACCTAGCTTCTATGAGCAAAATAACAACATGAAAAATTAATCAGGAGAGCAGAAAGCACACGCTTCAAAATAAATCAGAATATAGATTTTTGGCCATTCTTAGTAGAAGCTAACTGTTAGCATTAGCAACTCTACCACACAGCAGAACTCCTTCAGGTTTGTGTTATTTGAGGAGAAGACACATCAACGTTGCAGAGCAAACAGACTCGAGGCAGTATTTTAGAAAAAAATACTTCAGAAGCTGCTTGTTTCACAGAAACAGATCAGGTGCTCATGTGTTGCTTTTATTACAGCTTTCTTTTAATTCATAGCAAATTTTAATTTGTGACTTGCTGTGATTCATGCAGGCTGAAATGAAATCTGCTGACTGAGTGTTTTGTTCACTAATCTTTTAAAGGGGCCATATCATGGAAAATCCACTTATTTGGAACCTTTTCCCACGTGATATTGTTATTGCTGGTTTTAGTTCTTATCTGTGTGCAGCGTTTATATGTATTAAGATTTAATCTAGGACTGTGACTGCTGTCATGTAACAGACGTGGTGGTCCAGTGGTTAGAGTGCTGGGCTGGACACCTAAACCACTGGACCACCAAGGCCAATACAGCATCGGACTCGCCTAAGATGCTGTTGTAGGTGGGCGGAGTTTCCCCGAAAACAAACTGTTTTGTTTCTGGGTAAAAATTCAGGCAGATTAAAACGACTCGTATTTAAGATAACTGACTTCAGCTCTCACCAGCATGATATAGAACCTTTAACAAGAAAGGACACCTCACAGATTTGTCAAAGTTTGCTTCTTAGCAAATATGTCAGTGATGTAGATGCATAATTTTCACACTTGGAAGAGTTCAGCTGATATTGAAGAGCTGCATCGGCAAGCTGAGGTGGACAAAACGGCTGAATGTATATTCATGTAATAAGCAGGACTTAATCTCTGTATTCTGATGTTTTACAGGAAAGAGACAAAGTGATGCCCCTGATCATTCAGGGATTCAAAGACGCTTCAGAGGAGGCTGGCACGTCTGTCACAGGGGGACAGACGGTGCTCAACCCCTGGATCGTGATGGGAGGAGTTGCTACAACAGTCTGCCAGCCCAACGAGTTTATCATGTAGGAATGAGTTCTTGTTACTGATTTTTGTTTTATTTTTGCTCGTTGCATGTTTTGTGTCTCTTTAAAACACCATAATGGTGCCATTTCTCAGGCCAGACAACGCCGTGCCAGGGGACGTGTTGGTTCTGACCAAACCTCTGGGAACACAAGTGGCCGTAGCGGTGCACCAGTGGTTAGATATCGTAAGTTCTGGCGATGGTTCTTTTGAGAAACATCTTGTGATACACACTACTGACTGGACTGTGTCTGCTTTCTTTATCTCCCAGCCTGAGAAGTGGAACAAGATCAAGCTGGTGGTGACCCAGGAAGATGTGGAGCTCGCCTACCATGAAGCCATGATGAACATGGCGCGGCTCAATCGTACAGGTAAGAAGCAGCAGCAGCTTTTGAATAAACTCGGTGTGAGATATTACATGGGCTGTCTACACAACATGGAAATTTCAGTAAATACGTGTTTTACATAATGGTTTTTGCAACATTGTTTATTAAATAACAACATTTCAGCCATAAACTATAAATCTAATTACAGATCAGTGAGTTAATCACCCTGAAGCACATCTAAGCTTCTTTTTGTTCTCTGTTGCAGCTGCCAGTCTTATGCACACCTTCAATGCCCATGCAGCCACTGACATCACGGGGTTTGGCATCCTTGGCCACGCTCAGACACTGGCACGACAACAGCGGAGCGAGGTGTCCTTTGTCATCCACAACCTGCCGGTTCTTGCCAAGATGGCTGCCGTGTCCAAAGCCTGTGGGAACATGTTTGGACTCATGCACGGCACCTGCCCTGAAACATCAGGTACTTGTTTAGGTCGTTAGGTTACTTTACTGGTACCTGCGGGTATGTGTACCTAGTTCTGTTCTGTCTATGCTCTTCCTTGTATATTTTATTTATGACTTTTTACAATAATTTACAACAGCTTTACAAAATAAGTGTCGCAAGCTGCTGAAACTCTAATAACAAAGAACATATATGAGAAAAGGAGTGAATGCTTTGTTTGTTTTATTTAAATATTATACAAGAGTGAACTTGCAGGATGTAAAGCAGAAATTATTTTAAAGACATGGCACATTAAAACTCCTTTTTAATTTTTCTGATTATAATAATCGGTCACTCAGAGTTTTTCATGCTGGCTGAACATGAAAATAGTCTCCTACACCTATCTCTTGTGTTAGCTTCTGATAGGAAATGGACGGTGAAACGCTAGGATTTGAAAATGGTAAATGACCTGTGTGTATATAGCGCTTTCTAGGGTTCTACAACCACTCAAGGTGCTTAAAAAATTTGTGACAGATCTACGTCTCACTGTCACTTAACATTCATGGACTCGGTAACCGTGACGGGGAAGGGTGTCGTTGGTTTAACATCCAGGAAACGGTAGTAGAAGCTAACTGTTAGCATTAGCAACTCCACCACCCAGCAGAACTCCTTCAGGCTTGAGTTATTTGTGGAGATAAAACATGAACGTTGCAGCGCAAACAGAGTCAGTGGTAGAGTGGCGTTGCTGTAATCTAATCTGAGATGTCCAGATATCAGGAAATAAGCCTGGAGCTCATTTGTGATGTGGCTCACTTCTGGTTCTTGGAAATGCTGCACATGTTTGTTTCAGAAGTTTTAAAATACTGCAATAAGTTTTCCATGTAAAAGAACGTATGAACATACACTCACCACCCCAACCCTACGAGGAACGCCTTGGTAGTCACGTGTTCAGCCAGGGTAGATCCATGCTTTCATGGTCACTCAGTCTTATGCTGCTCTAGTCCATCTGCTTCCTACCATCTCAAACTGATCTGCTCGCTTCTCTTTTTCAAACCATTCTCTGCAAACCCTAGAGACATTTGTGGGTGAAAATCCCCGTAGATCATCAGCTTATGAAAACTGAACTACGTTGGTGTTAAGACCGAATGGAAACTATTAAAGCACTTATACATTAGCGTCGGCTTGGAATTTGGTTTCACACACAGGTCAGATTTGCGTTTTTCGGTTCCGAGGCGACTCTTTCTTTCAGACCTTCTCCCCAGCGGTCAGACTGGGACCGAGGCGACGCTACGGACCGATTGTCCAGCTGAAATTACGTCTACTGCCTCTGCATGTGCAATTCATTTTCATGCTGGATGCTGTTGAGTAAACTTCTGTCTGTAGCACAGAGCTGCCGCTCAGTGAGAACGAGAGAAGTGGGTGCGCTCTCTGTGTGTGTGCGTGCGTGCGCGTGTGTGTGTGTGTGCATGTGCGTGCCTGTTCTCTGCACCGGAGCTCTTGCCCCGGTGAGCAGACAGCTGCTCAGGGGAGAAAGGAGTGTGTGTGGCACAAGATTATGAGGACACAAACAGCAAATTAGTAAAGTAATGTGGTTCAGAGTCTCCAAAAGCAACACAGCTCATACCCGCCGCAGACTTTCCCGAGCGTATTAAACGTCGCCCACAGGCTCGGGGATTTCTGCATTCCTGAGAAGTCCCTTGGATTTATATGTGAGCACTACACCGGCCGTTCGAGTCCGAACTCGCGCCATCCAGCCCAACCAAACCCCAACCATGCCAGTGCTAATGTGTAAGCGCCATAACAGTCTGATCTGGCTCCATTCGTCATTCCTCAACTATTTTTTTTCTGCACCATTTAGATTTTTCAATATTAAAGCTGTAGGCAAGGCTGGTGTTCAGTATGTTTGCATCATGAATGATATTGGACTGACGACCTTATGCTGTTTTCTGTTACAGGAGGCCTGCTTATCTGTTTGCCCCGGGAACAGGCTGCTCGCTTCTGTGCTGAGATCAAATCCCCTAAATACGGCGAGGGCCATCAGGCGTGGATCATCGGCATTGTAGAGAAAGGAAATCGCACCGCTCGCATCATTGACAAGCCGCGAATCATTGAGGTGGCTCCTCAAGCGGCCACGCAGAATGTCAACCCAACGCCCGGCGCAACTTCCTAATCTTCCATTTGCTGCATCATAGACCTGAACCCAAAACCCGTGTTGAGAGATTGTAGACCTACAGGATCATCGTAGAGTGTTGAAACATATACACACAATAGTAAAGAAACAAAACAAAGACTGGGTTTGTGAACATCACCATGGAAACAGCCCCAAACAGTTGCCTTGAGGGCATGTCGCCACCTAGTGGACTTAAGCTGCAGTGTCCCCATGAAAAGAAATTGGCAGAGTATCCTTTTAATCCGTTTGCCCTTTTCTGACTTTTTCGTTGAACGTGCTTGATTGGCAGTAATCTGATCACGGTTGATTCATTTTGAATCTGTGCTAATCTGCAGTCTGTTGCCTCTTTTAAAGTTCTTCTCACCAAACAAGCACAGTGTACTTCTGTTTGTCTGCTCACGTTGTACAGATCTAAAGCCTCATTTTAGTTCCTTGCTGTATTGGATGCCTTGAGAGTTGTAGTGTGACCAGAATGGCTTATTTTTTATTACTTTAACTTTTTTGTATCGTCCCCACACAAACTAATAAAAACTTAAATACCAGTGAGTTTCTTGCTAATTTAAAGAGAAGAGAAATCTAATCAAAAAAGCTTTCTTTACATTCTGAACCAGAAACAGTCGCTACTCTACTTTGCCTTCATTCACCGCCCAAAAACGACAACTTGTTTTGTCTAAAAATGAAATTTGTTAAAGGTGTGGTTGACTGAGAAAAACTTTTTTCCCACGTAGCAATGGATCATGGGTAATGCCGTTCGCCCAAGTCCGCATCAGTTTTAGGCATGGGTGAAGGGCATTACCCATGATCCATTGCTGTGCGGTACAAGGGTGCAAAAGGTGCATGGTCAACTGGATTGTGACACCCTATGCATGTGGAAGTGCAAGTATTGTGATTGGGCCAGAGAGCGAAGAGCATCTGGGAGATAGTGACTAAAGCTTGGTTTATGCTTGACGCGTCCGCGATGTTCGCACGGCTCCGCGCGGCAAAATTGCGTCATTTTAACAACCACGCCCCTCCACCGCGCCTCCGCACGGCCCAAACTTTCCGCACCGCGCACTTAGGACATTTTCTAACCACGCGGACAGTCGGACGTGGAAAAACATGGCGGACTGGCAAGAACTAGTATGTTAGAGGTTCGTGAATACAGACATTTTTATGATTTAGCTCTCAAAGATCACCGTGATCAACATGTTAATAATTCTTGGAGAGAATTAGCTCGCACTGTCGGAAAAGATGAGGACACTGTTAAAAAATGCTGGAATGCCGTGTTGTAAACAACAGTAATTTTTACTTGTACTATGGTGTAGTGTTGGATGCATGCCGTAGAGCTCCATGCTGCCCCCTACAGTTTGGGAGAATATTAGCTCACCGCAGAGACAAGCCGCATGAACCATACACGCTGCAAGTTGTGAAGCGCGTTCCATCCGCGAGCCGCATCACCAAGCGGAACGTGAATGCGTCAAGCATAAACCAAGCTTCAGCAACGTGAGTGTGTATCGTTAAAAAAAGAGTAGTCCTGCTGTTTTCAGCCCACCTCTGCACCAGCAAATTTCTGCATCGCAGGAGCGTCATAGCTTTTTTTAAATGACTCATAAGGCATTGATTTACACTCGAGAACACTGCTAATGTATTCAATAAACAAGTAAACCACACCTTTCAAAGACAATAAAGGCCGATTCTTCCATTCTTCCTCTTACAATAAAACTACCCAATTATTGCATTTCTATGTTTTTAATGTTCACATATTCAGGTAATTATTGGAATTTGAAATATAATATTAGCAAACTTAAACATAAAAAATGTATTTGATAAGCTCAACATGTTGGGTGCACAGGAGTGTTTCATTTGCTAACATGAAATAACAGGATTCCTTTGCAAAAATAGTTTTTACATTAAATGTGATTTATGTACAGCCAATAACATAAGCAGCAGAAAAATAGACATAAGGAGCAAACAAAGCAACTCTGATATGTAAAATAAATGTTCTTGCTTTTGTCTGAGTGGAATGCCCAACTCTTCACCAGAAAAGCAGAAACAAGTGCAATTTTCTGCCAGAACTTTGTTTTTACATACAAGATGGCAAAAGTCTTCCCCTGTCTCACATGTGCTTCTTCCCATTCACCAGCAGCACACACTTCCCATTCTCCTCCATCTTCTTATCATTCTCTGGTTTGAAAAGCGCCTGAATGTCTATCATGGCCTTCCTGATGTGCTGACCGAACCTGTAGGAGCTCTGCAGGTCACACGGAGAGGGAATCATGAACGATGGATGATGGTGGATCTAATAAAAGGTCAGATTTGGCGCTCTTACTGTGTCGGGACTGGAGAATTTGCAGGAGATATGGAATGTGATGAGGTTTTCCCCGACAATGATGTACGAAACACCATACCCATCGTCAGCCACCTGATAGAAGAGACGTGTGTGAGATTTGCTCTTCCAACAGGTATATTTCACCTTTATGATACTCACAGGACCAAATCCACCTCCAGCACCCACGAAATTAGGGAACTTGTTGATGTCGACTAAATTGATCTGCTGCTGCGGAGTCTGGCTAGTGGATAACTTCCAGGGTTCAGAGAGCACCTGGTTGTGCAGGTAATAAAAGTCACAAGTGAGTTATGTAGCTGAAGCCAGTGACGTAAATGAGAGATGGTCCGAATGATCACCTTCTTAAGAAACGGCGAGTCAACACCAAGGTATTTGGACACTATGTAAAGGCAGAAGAGGTGACGATCGATGCCAGACCCGGTCATGGCCAGACGGTACATGTTCTGATGCTTCTCCGCTGCCTTCCGAAACAGCACGAGCTTTTGGGCGTTCTGGTTAAATTAAGAAATTTGATCAAATCATTTTGTTGTCCTTTCACACACAAAACGTTGCAGCACGCCACACGTCTGTTCCAATGAGCTTCTAGTGTCAAAATCACCCTGAAACCACAAATATATCAGTTTGACTCCATCAGAACATCAAATAGTGCAGAGTCCAGCCATCAAAAGAACATCCGCTCCAAGTCTAGGTGACCTGGTGCATGACAGCACAATGTGACCCTTTCATCTTGAATACAAGTATGACATCACATAGTTGGATCTTTATGTGTCTATTTAAAAAACAGTGTATAAATTCTACCCTGTTGTGTTTATTCTTAATACACTTTACATATGTTTGTGTGTTGCGTACTGTTACGTCCGTGTCCTCCATTGCTCTAACAAACGCCACCGCCTCCGAGGTGCAGGAGCGTACCGTCTCCGTCCGTCCATCCCTGAACATCCGAGTCATCGAAGACTCGTAGGTCAGACAGAACACACCCTGATCCTGCAAAGGAAAGCGTTTTATGTCCTGATGAAACATGGAGCTGCGAGTCGGTTTAGAAGTCTTACTCGAAACTGGGCTAGTTGCAGAGCCAGCTGAATGAAGGCGTCGGGGCTAGTCCTGCACTTCTTGATCGCACCTTTGCCAAAATCAGTGAAAAGATAGCCGTGAAAGTCCACATCATCGGCTATCTGCTTGGCTGACAGGTACGACTTCTCAATGACATCTTGGCACTACATGTGAGGGGAGATGGTTAAAATACCGTTCAAAGATTAGATTAAATGATCACTTTTAGACATTCCACCGAACCTCCTTAGAAATGTGCCACTGCAGTCGGTTTGGATACGGCAGGTCCCCGCTCACATCCCCCTTACAGTGTCCCTCCTCAGTGTAGCCAAGATGAAAGCAGTCTGTCGCAAGAACATACTGCACACACAAAACAGTTACAGCTGAGGAAGAATAAATGCAAACTCTTAATTTGCCAAATTTTACACTTTATACCTCCCACATGTGTCCCATGATTGGTGCGTCAGCCCAAGCGTGTTCAATATTTACACCCATCTTCCCGTTTGGATATGAGATCAATGTGAATGACTTGTCAAACCACCTGTAATGATAAGGGTGGCGATTTCAGGGAAACACGTAGAAGAAAACCAACTGAAACCTGAAGCCTTTCCTCTTTTATGTGTACCTGTCGTAACATTTTCCATGCAGCAGAGACTTGGCGTAATTGTCGAGCGAGTTCGTTTTCGCTGGGTCGTAACCCCGCGGCTCCTCGTCAAGCGTCAGAAAGAATGCAGCGGATTCAATGACGTCTAGGGAGGCTTTGTTTGCTCCCTGGCTAAAATACTTCACTCGAGCACGAGCCCACGGAATTCTAGGAAATAAGAGAGTAGGACTGTCTGGTCAAAACACAGAGAGTCAGTGTGTGCATGTGTGTGTTTGCACATGCCTATCGCCTGCAGTCAAGGCCGCTAGTTTGAGTTCTCCTGGCTGGGGTTCTGATGTGTCATTGAGGATCCGTTGAAACTGTGTCTCCAGTTCATTGGGGGAGAGATGGCGTCCTCCAATGTACAGCCACACTTGGAAGAATCGGCCTTTGTGGTAGACAACCAGGTGCTTTCTGTTATTTAGGTGCTGCACAATGTCTGCCAATAAAAGGTATGGAAAACAAGGGTTGTTAGAAGTAAACCTGCACATTTATGCTGCTGGCGCATCATATGATTAAATGTAAGTACAGCAAGTCTCTCTGCTCTGGCTTGAAGGACAAACAACCATCAAACGCCCCAAACCAGAACCTCTTCTGACCTGTTTCTACTCCAGGGATGCGGGTCGTGTTGAACATCCTCTCCATCTGAGCGGAGCACATTGGGACTGTCCCTAAAGCCCTCAGCTGCGAGGAGAATAGACGCCATAAAAGTTTTAACAACTTAGTACAAAATGCAAACAACAGCAAAAACGTGATGGTAGCTTTTCGAACGGGTAAATCACCGGTGCGTGTTCACCTCGCTCCAGTTTGCGTCTGTACAGCAGCATAGCATGGACCATGTTTCCTGCTCGTGCCGCCTGCCGGTGTGTTGGAGTCACGTACAGGAGGTCCTTGATGTAGACAGATCAAGAATCCTCATATTAGCATTTGGACTGTCAAAGTGACAAGAATTAGAGAAACTGTTGTTTTGACATGTGCATTTGTCAGGCTGCACGGTGGCGCAGTTGGTACAGGGCCAGGCAAGGGAGCTGTATTAGTATAGCACCTTTCATACACAGAGGCACTTCAATGAGCGAGAATAGCATGAACATTAAAATCAATGTGACAGCATAATTAAAATACTCAAAATAATTTCAGGTGTAACTAAGAATAAAAAAAGACAAAGTTAAAGGTTGAGCAGGTACAGTGCAGAAGGTAAGAAACATTCAAAGTTTTCAATTTTGATTTAAAAGTTACGAGAGTTGGGGCACGTTTGAGGCCACGAGGAAGCTGAGTCCATCTGTGTGCAGCACAGTAGCTAAAAGCAGCTTCTCTCTGGTTCTGACCCAGGTTCTACCAGTTGGCTGTTTCCTAAGAATCTCAGAGCCCTGCTGGGTGGTATGTCCTGGAAGGAGATGCAACATGTATTTTGGGCCCATGCCATTGAGTGATATTTTAAATATAGTAGAAGTACTTTGAAATGGATCCAGTAGTTTACTGGTAACCAGTGTAGAGGTTTAAGAACTGCGCTCGGTTCTCTTGGTTCTTGTGCTTTTTCGGGAAGATCAGACAATAGACCATTGCAATGGTCCAGCCTGCTGGAGATGAGTGCATGTATTTCTCCTGCTGAACATGAGACCTCTGAATCTTGCTACTGCTCTATGCCTTGCGGCTTGACATCCCAGCTTTGGCCTTTCTGCACTGAGAATGTTCTCATGCATGCATGGGTCTTCTCTGGGAACTCTGGTTTTCTCCCACAGACCAAAAACATGCATGATAGGTTGACTGGCAACCCTAAATGGGCCCTAGGTGTTAGTGAGTGTGTGCATTGTGTATGTATGAGTCCTTGCGATGGATTGGCAACCTGTTCAGGGTGTCCCCCAACTTTTGCCCGATGACTGTTAGAGATAAGCACCAGCTCCCCGCGACCCTACTGCCACACTAATCATTGAGTGAGTGTGCGTTCCTTAGATTAAAAAAAGACCAAACATTTGCAGAATAAACATATTTCTAACAGCTCTCTGGTAAAAATCAAAGGTAGTTAAGCATACCATTATGTAAAAGTTGCTGTTGACCATGATGGGACTTCTACTCCTGAGGTAAATGTACTCCTCCCACCAGTCACTCACCTAAAGAAGACACCAGGTTAGTATTGTGAAATCCTCACAGTGACTTTAGATTAGTTGTGTATTTTGTGTAGCGACTACTCACATAATTTGTTGCCCACCAGGACTTCAGAATCAGGTATCTCTGGAGCTGAGCTGCTTCAGTCTCTTTAAACTCTTTGGCCAACAGTTCCATCTGGGCGTACTGTTTGCTGTCCAGCAGAGGGCGCACTGATTCAAGGTACTGGAATTAAAACAGTTTCATTAGTTTTTGCAGGAAAACACCTAAATGCAACAATACAAACTACTTCTAAAATGTGTATCTTTGAAAAGTGACATCATAATTTTTTCAAAAACTGCTTGATGTGATGCATTTTGTGATAAAGAAGTTTGTCGCAGGGCCACATAAAACAATGAGACCACCCTTCATTCACACACTCACACCTGAGGACAGCTCAGATTTGCCAGGTAACCTAACATGTTTTTGATCTTTGAGACGAAACCAGAGAACCTGGAAAATTTCCACTAATAGATGAGAAGGACATGCAAACTCAGCACAGAATGCTGCAGCTGGGTGTCAAACTGAAAAGCAGTACTACTACTAGCTGTGCCACTTTGTATTTTATTGAGCTACTTTCCATTTTTAGTACAGTGGCTGTGCATCTCTCTCTCTCTCTCTCTCTCTCTCTCTCTCTCTCTCTCTCTCTCTCTCTCTCTCTCTCTCTCTCTCTCTCTCTCTCTATATATATATATATATATATATATATTTCTGCAAGGTCAGCACACGACGGGTAACTACACACCCTCTGAATTGTATCATCCACACTAGGCACAGGGAGCCGGGGTAAGGCCGCCTGGAAACTGTACAGCAGCGGCCTCCGTCCAGAAAACATCTTTACCAGGTTCTGTTGGGAAAATAAAATAATTTATCTCATGCATAATGTGTTCTGGACAAATGAAAGGTGTGGTTCACTTGGTTAACCAATAAATTTGCAGTGGTCTCAAGTAGCAATGAATGCTTTGTAAGTCGTACTTGGTGGGGATTAATAAACTGATGCACCATTTCCAGGAACTGGTGGTGACCCACATCACAGCTGAGCTTCAGACGGTAGATTTTAGAGTCTTATTTCCTGATATTTGGACATCTCGCCCCAGATTGGCTAACAGTAACACAACTCTACCACTGACTTGAAACGTTGATGTTTTATCTTCACAAATAACACAAGCCTGGAGGAGTTCTACTGTGTGGTGAAGTTGCTAATGCGAACGGTTTGCTTCTACTAGCTGAGGCGTCCTCTGCTGATTCTTAACAACAGCCTTTCCCGTCACAAGCCAAGATGGGTGAGTCCAACGTTAAGTGAGAGTGTGACGTAGATCTATCAGGCTTTTCAAATCCTAGCGTTTCATCGTCTATTTTCTCTCAGAAGCTAATAGGAGTTAGGTGTAGGAGACCATTTTCATGTTCAGCCTACATGAAAAACTTGGAGTGCAAATATAATCAGAAATAATCATTAAAATTTATTTTTTAGTGTTCGACACATTTAAAAATCTACTTTTCCCTCTATAATTAGATCAGTGGGAATCACAGAGGCAAACGCACCAGCCACATTTTGGTTGATGTACTCATTTTCCCATGGGATTCAAAAATCCAGCCGTGGTAGGACAGAAGAGCCTTGAGCGTGTATCTCATGAGGTAGATGAGGAACGTCCACAGTCCAGTGGTGAACAGAACAGCGCTCAACACCGCTCTGGTCTGCACTGACATACGGTCTCTGCAGAAAAAACACAAGACAAAAACTTTTAGCTGCTGACGAGCACACAGCAATGCATGAGATGGTCATGTCGGGCAGTTGAGGTTACTGACCTGCATGGCAGGTTGTCCTTCATCAGATCTATAATTCCTAAAGAGAGGTCTACGTGTGTGTACAAGGAACTCATCATGGCGATGACAATAATCAGCCAGCTGGACGGGCTGGCGGGGTAGACTCCAGCCAGGATTCCATTCTGTTAAAGCAAACTTCACACTTTGACTTGATGCATTTTAAATTTGATCACTTGGTGCACATTTTAAACACACATGCAAGAGTCAGAGGTGTTTGTACCTTAAATAAAATAGCTTTCTTCTTCCACGCTGTCACTCCTGACAGGTAGATGTTTCTGATGACCTCTTGGCTCAGCTTGATGTCCACACCGTCTGGGCGCACAGTGAACTGGAAGCCCACCGCCTGATGCGCCTCCGCCATTTTTAGGTTTGACTGAAACAGACAAAAGGAAGAAACCATAAAGAAGTGAGTAAATTAATAATAAAACAACAGTTTAGTTGATGTTTCAGCCTTTTTGGTTGCAATAATGTAAACTAAAAATACATCACATCATAAACCCCTGTTTATAAACTATTTAATTTTTCTAGACAAATAAATAATTCACTTATTGAAAATCTAACCTTTAATAGTGCAACGCATCCTTTGAACTTGGTCTTTTTTCCGGAACTGCGCTGCTCTGGGTGGCTGCATGTTGGAGTAGCTCTGTTGACTATATGTAAGTTTTGCCTTTTCTTGGACATTTTTTCTTCTAGTTTCTCAAGAAAAACTGTATTTTTTTGGATATTTTACTTTACTGTTTCTGGTGCTGTGAAGGTTGGAGAATTTTTACTGCTATTTTTTTTAGCTTTTTTCACTGTTTGAGCATTTGTTATGATGTGTAACCATGGCAACAAGCTGTTTACAATGGGGAGCAGCTGATTAACATTGAAAAGGCTGAAATAATACCTCAACTGAAGCCACAAATCCCAAATGAGCTAAAACGCAAGAAGCGTGGGTGCAGAGCGGGAGCAAAACGGAGACAGAGAAAGAGGAAATTCCAACCATCTCTTCCATCGATCATAATGGGCAATGTGAGATCACTGGCCAACAAGATGGAGGAACTCCAAGCCCTTTCAAGGACTCAGCCAGAGTTTCGGCAGTTTCGGAGCCACTGGAGGAGATAATGCAAAGAAGGATTCTCCAGAGAATCGAGAAAATGATGGACAACCCTGAGCATTCTCTTCACAAGACTGTCCGACAACGGAAGAGTGTCTTCAGTCAGAGGCTTCTTCAGTTTCGCTGCAACGCTGACCGCTACTGGAGATCCTTCCTGCCAACAGCCATTGTAATATACAATAACTCTTTGATGACTTGATTATTATTATTATTATTATTCTGAGCTACTACAGCAACCAATTTCCCTCTGGGATTAATAAAGTAATTTTGAATTGATTGAATTAAACAAATCCTGATAAGCCCAGATTTGGATAATAAAATTCATTTAATTAATAAAATCTTTGCAAAAATCAACTTCAGTCACGTCTGTGCCCCATTTTTAAAAATAAAGCTTAAATACACCGATTCAAAATATTTGGGCTGATACCGATATTAATCTTGCTGTTATGGTCCGTAACTGATATTTGCCAATACACACACACACACACACACACACACACACACACACACACACACACACACACACACACACACACACACACACACACACACACACACACACACACACACACACACACACACACACACACACACACTTATGCTTATTATATAATTACTAGCACTGTCACATGGCTAAACAATTACACATCATCGTCTTGGGAGGCGTCTGCTTAGTAACGCATTACTTAATATTGAGCAATTAATAATTTATTCATGCTTTTATAATGCACCAAGTAACATTATTGAAGGGACCTTTATTGTGAAATGCTATTAAATTTCTGTGCTTCTCATTTGCTCAGAATGTGATTGAAGTTATTAACTGATGAAGGATCTATCAATGTCTGCAAAAACACGAATTGCATAAAATCAGCTGAGTGTTTGACCTCTAAGTGTAACGGCCTCCTGAGACCCTAAACACAAATATTTGTACTTCCCACATCCCTCCGCACAGCTGAGCGACAGGTCTGGTGTGGCTTTTTCCATGTCATATGACTGAACAGCTCCCAACTGGGACAAAGTTCAGCAGCCAGATATAGTGGAGCATCAACTGAGCATGTGCACGGGCCTCAGATGTGCATGAGAATATAAACACAGCGCACAACCAACACAGATGGCAAAAGTCCCAGTTATTAAAATAAACGCAGTCCATTTAATGTCAGTCTGTATATTTTTGAAAACATCTTATTATTATTAAATATCACTCTCCTGATCGTAACCACATGCCACATAAAAAAGATTTAACACAAAATGCATCAATAAATAAAAACTAATTATACTTCACCTTTAGTCAGGGCAGAGCCTAATGATCTCGGGTAAAGCCAACTGTGGTCTGAATGAGTGAAACTGTCTTCTGACACTTCCGTGTCCTTGGAGCGACTTCACCCAGGTAACGAACACGGGAGTCGTCTCCCTCTCTCCCTCAGCACTGGTCTCTCTCCCCCCTCTGCCTCTTCCTCCCTCACCTATGACATGCCTCTCTTTGTAACCGGACACCAAACATAGACAGACTTGAACTTGTGTGCTGTGAGGTCTTTTGCTACGTAACTGAATCATGCTGCAGCACCGGATGAAACTCAGAGCCGTGCAACCTTTCACCTACTTTCCCTTTAAGGGACCACAGAGTTGTGATTAAAGCTGAATATTAGAATAACGGACGTATATGGTGCACACTTGTGAGCGAAAGGAGAATAGTCCGTTTCTATTTTCAGAAGCCCAACGCATACGTCAGAATAGTTTGGCAGAACACCCTCAGCACATTTACCAGAGAGCATCAGTGTCACCAAGGTATTTTTTCCATTAAAAGAATAAAACACACTGACGTTGTGAAGGAGTTTCAGTTTCACTGCCACTAGAATCCCCAGAAACCTGTTTCTCCTGTCGTTTTCAGGCTGCAGGATTAGAAGCAGAGGTAAAAAAAAACTGCCTCATAGCGAGTGGAGACAGGTAAAGGTGGAAGTTCACTGATGGAGACAGTTTGCAGATCATCCTTATGACAGTGTTGTGGTCTATGCTGGCCATCAGGCGCTGGTTCCCTACTAGTGTCCCCTGCCCAACATGAGCCACTTTCTCCGTCCTATGAACCTGGAAATCAAAAGAGAACAAATCATCTAACACACATCTAAATCAGAGAATGTAACTGTGGACAATCTGAGCTGTTAACCTGTCCCCATTTCTTTGACTGCACACAGAATGATGTCACTATATTTTCTGAGTTGTTTCCACCAATCACAAGCAGCTCATCAGTAGCACCCAGGAAGTAAAGAATAGGGAGGCCTTCGTCTGCTCTGGTAAGGGTGGGAAGCATTTCAGTCCATGAATCTAGAAGACAAATAAAACAAAGGATTTGTAATAAGAAACACAGAATAAACCGTCATGCATGTGTTTTGTGCACCTTGCTTTGTGTTACACTGCAGCAGAAGCTTTTCTCCGGTTCTCTGGATGCTCCCCAGCACATAGACACACTCTCCAAGGCTGGTAGCAAGAGGGACGTCGTGGGATAAGGACACGGTGAACTGGAAGTCAGCGAGTGGCAATGAGGACACAAACCTAAAGCAGGAGTGAAATACACACGAAATCAAGAAAATATAAATAATAAAACACTTTAAAAGAGTCAGACCTCCATGCGTCCTTTAATGGATCGTAGCACTCTACAGCTGTGTAGAGAGCTGTGCTGGAGTCCGGAGTCACCAGAGAGTCCCACAGCAGCCGCCACAGGCTACTGCGCTGAAGTGCCTTCTGTTCTGCACAAGGTGGAAGTTTTCTTTAGTTTGACACAAAGGAAAAGTTTGGATTTGGGATTCTTCGTTATACCTTCATCAAAGACAACGTAGTGACCCATGAAATAGTGAAGGGATTGAATCTAAAGGAAGCCATTCTGAACTCCCAGCCTCTCTTCACGCACCGCCCATAGCCTTCTATCACATACAGGTATAGTTCTAAAGCACCACCGTGGTAAAACACCACTCATCAGCTCTGAAGGGAAGTTCTGTCATTGGATGCCAGTCTCCACCATCCTCCGATCCTTTTATTGTGAAAATGTGCCGGGCACATTCAGTTTCTGCGTCATCCCATGACATCAGGTTCTCCTTCCTCAAGCTGCACAGACGTCGCTCTCCTTGCTCCCTCAGGTTTACAACTTCCAGCTTCTCCTCGTCAGTCAGGGATCTGATGCATACGCGGGTTTCAGAGACAAGTGGTTTCCAAACGCTGGTATCTGAACATACCTTATCACACGTGGCAGCTCCAGCAGGTTTCTGCTCACATGGGTGAGCACCGTGTTCCTCAGCTCTGCACAGAAAATCTCCTGAGCAAGACTCAAGTATGACAAACAGGCAGCTGGACTGAGCTCATCAGCCAAGACTGACAGGCACTTTGAATGGAAGGCCTCCGCCAGGAGATAGCTGCTCACCTTAGGAGTCAGAAACAAAAATGGGGAAGGGGGATTAAAGAAAGTGCGTGTTTAGGGACTTTACATTATTTCATATACCTCAATGTGTGCGCCCAGCTCCTCTCAAGGAACTTACTCAAGGAAATTGTGAAAAACAGAGGAAGACACGTGCTCCAGGTGAATGAAGCTCTCCGAGGTCTCTTTCATTCTAGACTGTGACAAAGCTCGGAAGTACTCGCTGCATTCCGAAAGTCTCCAAAGCTCCACCTGTAAAATGAGTTATTAGTCTGCTGGTTTGTGTTTAACCAGTGAAGTTGTGAAACTTGCCTGAAAGGTATGCGTGCTGGTTTGGACCATAACTCTCCTTCCATTATCATCTCTGAGGTGATATGTGCGGAGCAGCTCGTTGGCTTTCCACACCAAAAACCCTTTGAGAAATATGCTTCAGCCATAAGATGGTCCGTTCCATGAAGACCATAAAATACTGCAGGAAAGCAGTCACCTCACTGAGTGTTGTGTGAGTCTTTTCCACTGGTTTGGCAGTTTTCCCACTGCAGATCTCAGTGACGTTCCCTCTAACAGAACACCAGAGCGGCTGTTTTTGAGTCTAGATTCTTGGAAAATAAGCATGACAGCAAATTATCTTTGACATCACATTTTATTCTTTCTTGAATTCAGATTGATACCAGAAAGTACCTCAATCTTTTAGCGGAGTTGTTCCTTTAGGGCCGTCTATTCCTGGCTCCTGGAGGAGGGACGTGTGTCAGCTCTATGAAAGCCAACATGGCCTCCACGTCATCCCAGGGTGCTCCGATTACTCTGCAGCATGACGCTCACAAAGCTGGAGCAACTCCACAGTTTACAAGAAACGTGATAAAAGTATATTTGCCACTAAAGGAAAGCAAAAACGAGTCGTGATATGGATTCTTAGCAGTGGAGTTTAATAAAATCAACAGTACTTTTTCAGTAGTGCAAAAATAAAAGATACAAGAAAAATGTTACAGAATTAGTTTTACTAGTTTTTTTCCCCAGTTAAACTGATGATGGGGTATAATTAGCTTCATTAACATCACTAATGTATTCAATCTATTCACCTAAATGGAGTCTAAATAAATACAATAAAACAGGTGAAAGTGTATTTCTATTCTCTTAAAAAAAAAATCAAATTAATGACATAATTTTCACAAAAACATAAAAAGCTGTTTTTCAAATAAAAAAAACTGCCAACTGATCCAGGGGGAATGAGGCCACTTTACACCTACAAAAGCAGTTTCTTCAGGTCTCTGTGCACAGTCCAACTAATGCTGGTGATGGTCATCTATTCGTCCAGGAGACGGTAATCCAGGGGGGGGGGGGGGGGGATTGAATGAACACAAATAGGAAGCCCTCAGAACTTGCAGATACCCTAGCTGGACTTTTGTGAAATCAACAAAGAACTCTGGAAAATAATCCACAACAAGGACAACAAGCGCAAACGCACCGCCATCCCATATGTGGCAGGAGTCTCGGAGAAACTTTAAAGAATCTTCTCCAAACATGACATCCTGGTAAACTTTAAACACAACACCTTCAGACAGAAACTGGTCCACCCAAAAGACATCCAAACAGAAGCTCCGTGGCATTGTTCATGCAGTCAAATGTAGTGAGGACTGTCCAGACCATTGCATAGGGGAAACTAAACAACTACACAACAAAGGAGAGCCACCTCTTCAGGTCAAGAGTCCACTTACACCTGAAGGACAAGGGGCACACTTTAAAGATAAAGTACACAACCTGGACAGAGAAGACAAATAGTTTGAGAGAGGAGTAAAGGAAGCCATCTATGTCAAACTGGAAAAATCTATATGAAACAGAGGAGGACTCAGGTTTCACCTCTCCAGCACTTGTAATCAGGTGTGCACATAAGTGGTCCGCAGGTGCGCATGCGCTGTCAAAATAAACAATGTGCACCTGAAAAAAAGCTGCAGCACGCATTTGCGCACCTAAGATTTTGTGGAGGAAGGAAGACATTTCTGGAGCATTTTAAAGATGTCCAAGAAGCAAGCTCCATTAAGTAATTATTTTAGGGTTCCTCCGCCTCCAAAAAACAAATGTCAGACTGAGTCAGAACCGCAAAAGAAAAGAGTATTCGCGGAGAAGTGGCTGCAGGAGGTCGGCTGGCTTCAAACAAGCGATGAACGCACAGAGATGTGGTGGAGATCATAACGTGAAAATAACAGCAGAGAACATTAGAAAGTTGTCCTTTGCTGTGTGTGAACTGGAGGAAGCCAGTCAGGGAGGATGAAGATGAGGATGATGAGAGTCTGTGGAAATAAAAACGGCATTTATGCCATTTAAAAAACTTCAGTGCTCTGAAATAATAATTTAGTTAAGTGCTTTAAAATTTATTTGATTTTTGTTATCACAAAAGCAGCTGTTTACACATTGTGTTCCACATTCAGACAATTCAGTCATGTTATTAGAAAATTAGAAGGTTTAAGTTAAGCTGGCAATATTGGCAATGTTGTACTTATTATTTTCAGTCAAAATTAAAATACCGGTATGTTGCATCGTCAACGCGCTACTCTATTTTGTTCCTATTGTGAGTTGGGTTAAGAATTAAGTGCATTAAAAAATGTGAGGACCAAGCAACAACCATAGGTTCTCCCCTGAGAACCAACCCAAAAATATTATGTGCACCCCTGCTTATAATGCATCTCTGAACCTAATCCCAAAAACAGTCAAGGTCACACCCTCCTGCATCTAATCAAACAACCACCAAACAACACAACAGGGAGCTCAAGTCTCCTCCCTTTCCGGTCGGCTCATGGGTCCCCAGAAGAACGAAAAAATTAATGCAAGTCAACGGGACTAAAAGAGTTATTTTCTAATCTGCTATGCCTTACGCCCTGGATCACACATATGTTGTACTGCAATTTAAATGAAAACTAATTATGGGTGTTTTGACCATGCCTGTCACACACTTTGAGATTTATCAGCTTGTAACTGTTTGTAATTAGCATTTTTAGCCCCATTGACTTGCATTAATTCTTTCATTCTTCCGGGGACCCATGGTCCAGAAGTAGATTACCACAAGTTAGGCTCCCTGTAGGACCCAAGAACATAAATGACTCCTTGCGTGGTAGGGGGAGGGGTATTCATAGGTAGTTTCTGATCGTTAAGCAACAACCGACAACTACAACTTCTAAGCTTGACCCTCCCATATTCCAGTCAAAATTGACAAAGCTCCTCAGATGAGAAGCGAAACGTCTTCAAGAAACCAAAGAAGCCCAGTTGCCTTCATTCAAACCTCTTCAGATGAGCAAACTAATAATGATCCTATCAACACAGTTTAGAGAAAAGACCATTTTCCAATTTCTCAACCCCAAATCAAAGTTTAAATGAATTAAACTCAATAAATATGACTTTTTTTAGTACATCGTAGCTAATTAATGATGCCTACAGACACAGAACAGCATCTCCTAAAAACACTGCAGAGGTATTATTTTGTTTATCTTTTACAATCGTTTGAATTCAGAAAAAACCTAGCTTTTTATGTTTTTCGAGAATATGCTATTAGCTTCTCTAGGTTTAAACAAAGTACTGTTTAAATGCTAAAAACCCCAAGTCACGTTCTACAGTGAAAATTCTTCAAAACATGTTTCAGTTAGTCAGATCTTGGAGAAATGGATTTTTTTAGGTAACATAAATATAACTGAAGGCAAGAGGGCGTTATGATATCTCCATGCTACTGCTAAGGGAGGACAAAAATCCTTCAGCAATCAGAATGATATCATGAAAATAACATTGTAAATAAAATGTAAAATAAATGTTAATAAGTACTGCTGACGACAATGAAACTGTATCAAATAGCGCTCAAATTGTCATGAATTCAATCTGAGAATTTTTATACATTACTATGATCAGAGTAGCTTCAGCAGGAGAAACGCAGCTATTATATGGAGTGGTTATGAAATACTATGGTCAGTTCTGTGACCACAGTGGTTACAATTAGCTGCTATAATCAGTAGAAGTCCTAATGTAGAGCTGATAATTAAAGAGAAAATTGAGGTAGAAAGACTCAAAACACCAACGAGTTGCAAAAAAGCCTCCCACACTGAGTGCTGCAGTACTGGCTTAATGTACTGAAATGATAAAACCATTATAATAAAATAAAAATACATCAAGCACAGGTCCTCCCTGACGTCCATCATGCACTCAACACAGCTGCTGATTTACAACATGGTCCAAAGAAGGGAAGCACTTGAAAAATGATGGAAAAAAGTGAAATTTCTGATTACTGACAAAGAATAAAGTGTACTTGTGCTGTTATGACACAAATACACTCCTTAAAAACTTATTTTGTAGGGATGCAAGATGATGCTATCAGTAACTTGTTATCGATATCGGTCCAACAAGTCAATCTAGGCCGATATTAGCTACCAATATTTATTTCAAGACAGGAAGGGAAGGGTGTTGGCCTTCTAGTATTGGTCCTGGCCTGTGACAGATGCAGTGATGCAGCACAGGATTGTGGGGGTATTTACCTGAAGAAGAGAAGCAATTCAGGTGGTGTGGTCACTTTTACACAATGGTTGAAAGTGTGGCAAAATTTCCATTGAAATCAGTAAATATCAGTTATCGGCCATATCAGAAGTATTAAAGCCCAAGTTCATTGAGAAACTGTTTATGACTACTTGTTATTTTTAAAAAAACAATCAGTCACTCTGAGTTTAACACGCAGACTAAACGTAAAAAAAGTCTTCTATATAGAAAATAGGGAGCATAAGTCTCCTCCCTTTACGGTCGGCTCATGGGTCCTCGGAAGAACAAAAAAATGAATGCAAGTCAACGGGGCTAAAAGAGCTATTTTCTAATCCGCTTTGCCTTACACCCTGGATCGCGCATGTTTTACTTCAATTTAAATGAAAACTAATGATGGTGTTTAGACCATGCCAGTCATGTACTTTGAGATTTATCAGCTTGCAAAAATTCGTATTTAGCAAGACTACAAATCAGACATTGGTACGTCGTATATGTATACGTCACCACATATTCTCCTCTTCCCTAGCGTAGCTGCTACTTACCATATGGCCAGATTTTTGGTGGGTTTTTTTACCCCCTGAAGGAAGGATTTAAAGTTTGCTGAACTTACAGCCATTTTCCCTCTGTTTTTCTCCGTGTCTGGTTTGATGACGTCTGTTTCGTGAAACACATTTGTAGTCCTGGACTTATTTTCACACATAACCTAAAATATCGTTTCCCCTCATTCGAAAATAAGCACGTTCTTGGTATCAAAATGTCTCGTCTCGTCTTCCTCCGCTTATCCGGGTCCGGGTCGCGGGGGCAGCATCCCAACTAGGGAGCTCCAGGCCGTCCTCTCCCCGGCCTTGTCCACCAGCTCCTCCGGCAGGACCCCAAGGCGTTCCCGGACCAGATTGGAGATGTAACCTCTCCAACGTGTCCTGGGTCGACCCGGGGGCCTTCTGCCGGCAGGACATGCCCGAAACACCTCCCCGGGGAGGCGTCCAGGAGGCATCCTGACCAGATGCCCAAACCACCTCAACTGGCTCCTTTCGATCCGGAGGAGCAGCGGTTCTACTCCGAGTCCCTCCCGAATGTCCGAGCTCCTCACCCTATCTCTAAGGCTGAGCCCGGCCACCCTACGGAGGAAACTCATTTCGGCCGCTTGTATCCGCGATCTCGTTCTTTCGGTCATTACCCAAAGCTCATGACCATAGGTGAGGATTGGGATTGGTATCAAAATGTGTCTTTAAAATTCACAGACATCATATGTGAAATGCACATAAGCAGAATTAGAAAATAGCGTTTTTGGCCCCATTGACTTGCATTCCTTTTTTCATTCTTCCAGGGACCCATGGTCTGGAAGTAGATTGGCGTGACTTAGGCTCCCAATAGACAGGGAAACGCTGGGATTAGAAAAGCCAGACAGATATATGACACGCTGTCACTTAACGTTCATGGACTCCCCCATCTTAGCTTACGAGGGGAAAGCTGTTGTTGATTTAGCATCCAAGAGAACATCTGAGCTAGTAGAAACTAATCGTTAGCATTAGCAACTCAACAACAATAGCCAAACTCCTTCAGGCTTGTCGGATTTGTGGAGATAAAACATCAACATTGCAAAGCAAATGGTCAGTGGTAGAGTTGTGTTGCTGTTAGCCAATCAGAGGTAAGATGTCCGAATATTAGGAAATAAGATTCCAAATCCGGCCGCATACTACTCACCTGTTCTATGGCAAACTTCTGTCTCACGGAAAAGGGAGTGCGAGACAGAGGTCTACTCACAAGGCATTTATCTATACTAGACCAGTGTGAATGCCTTGGAAAAACTAGTGAACTTGGTCTTTATTATCAGGTATTGTTTCAAGTTTTCATATCTGTGCATCCCTAATATTTGTACTGAAGCCTAGCTGCATAGTTCCTATGAAATACAGCATATTTATGCAAGGAGGAAGGAGGAGGAAAGCTTGGGAGGGAGAGACCATCCTGATGAACATTGTGGAATTCAGGAGAAGAGCTTCTTTTGTTTGAAGTAGGCATCAAAGCGGCACTGGGCATAATCCTGAATAAAATAAAGAGAACATTACAATCAGGTAAACTGTAATCAAATACAGAAATAATCTCACAAGGCTGTGTGTAACAATGAGTTAAACACTTTAAACATTAAAAAAACCTACATTTTTCTCAGGAATCACTCTGAGTTGATCATGTTTACACGCATTTAAATTGCAAATAAAATGTTCTTGTTGCCGCGTCGTGGCAGTTTTATTCTCCATTTTGTCTCACTACCCCCATTAGAGTCATTTGCTATGAGTGTGCAGGTCCGTGAAATAAACATAATCAATTCACACCAATATTTAAGCAAACGGCAAAACAACTCACCATGTATCCAAACTCAATCTTGGATATCTTTGCCTGAATGATGGACCACAGACCCCAGAGAAAGTGTGATGCTAATGCATATCTGCATGATAAAACAGTAACAGATGTTCAAAGTCCTGGTAGTGCTAAAAACTCACAGCCACTGTAAAATATCCAACTTTACCTGTTAGCTTCAATTATCATGTTCTCTTCGATTTGAGTCTGGTCCGTATCACCTTCGGCGGCGTGTCTTCTTTGTTCTGCCAAATAACTTCTTATGAAAAGCAACTGAAACAGGAATAAAATGATTACTGACATGTTAATTAGTGAAATAAAAGTACAAGCCGCTGGTAAAAAAAAATTAATCTGACTGAATGAGTGGTTGAGATTTTATCTAAATCCCTCTAAAGATCCAAATTCAATTACTAAATCACACCACTAGGTGGTGCTAAGCAACCATACCACACAAGACTTTCTTCCAGAAAAAATACTTTTATATATTTATATGCATTTATGTTTGAATTAACAGAAATAAAATCTAAATCTGCAACCAGACATTCAATTCAATAATACTTTATTAATCACAGAGGGAAATAAGAGTTTCAGTACACACAATTCTGAGATCTGACATACATACATGACAAGAATTGGTGACCCGAGTAGCGCTACCGTAATAGATCAAAAGGGTTTATATGAGGATAGAGTCATGCACACATTTCAACTCACAGCATAATAGCAAATGACATAAATATTATAGAAATAGGGGTGGGGCTCGATTAAAAATTATCGAATTAATTAGAGGCTTTGTAATCAATTAATCTCGATTAATCACATTTTAATTGTTCAAAACAATTTGCGCTCAAGCAATAAAAAAAACAATAATAATGTTTGTGAGGCATAGATGACATACCCACACTTTAATGAGTTTATTTCTGTAACCACAAGGTCTACTAGATTACTCTGGTCTCCTTATAAAGGTAACCATTGTGGGACTTGTTGGGATGTGAAAATATTAGTAAATGTGTTATTGATGAATCGTAAATAGTCATGGAAAGTTGTAAATGGTGTGTACAGAACTGAACATAAGGTGGCAGCAGAACACTGCTAATATATTTAGAGGTGTAGTGTAAAGTTCAGGGGAAGTTCTACTGAGGGTTACAAGATGAATGCTGCGTGTATGCTCGTCCCTTCTGGTATAATAAAGTTCACATGGATAAAGTTACTGCCGGCTTTCTACCAACTAGAAAACATAACGAGAAAAAAGTAGATTTTTTTTCCCTTTCTTTTCTTTAAGAAGAGAAATTTGTCATAATTCATTTTAGGGATGGACAATATATCGGCATCAGTATCGGTATTGGCCGGTTGAGGTAAATTTTTAATGCATTCTTTTTTTTTTCTAACTATTTAATTGTAATTAACATGTTAAATTTTCACCCCTATTTAGAACTAGTCCAAATGTATTTGAACTTTTAATTAAACAAGCAGTGCATATCTGAAAACATCACAAATAATACATTCCTACTAAATTGGTTTCTCTTTTAAAAGAGCTGACCTGCTGCTCTCTGGTTGGATAGTTTTCTGGTGAGGCTTTGTAAAAGGGCCACTCGTTGTATGTGTAATCATACATCCACTCACAGAAATGGTTCCCAAAGTCAAAACCCCTAAAAGAAAAAAACATATAGTAGTATAAACATTATACATGAGAAGATTCATTTCTAAACAGAAAGACAAGTTCACAAGCAAATATATTACCTATAATTGTAACTGCTGTATTCAAAGTCAATTAGCATGAGATGATCTGTTGAGTTATGGTCCTTCTCTTCCAGTACAAGGATGTTTCCTGCAGCATCAATAGAAGATAAGAGAAAAGCACCACATGTAGAATGTTTTCATACTTAAATAATTACACCTGTAGACATATTTGCATCTTTATGAACCATTTCATACATTTATTGACCTCTAAAGCAATAAACATTTGGGTCAAGTTAAGTTTTAATTTTAAAAATGCAGTTAATGGTGATAAAAAGATAATCAGATCTAAACATAGGGTGCACTGATGTCTGATGACAAGTCTAAATGGGTTAAAGTGCAATGCAAATTATACACATCATTCCTAATAAATGCAACAAAAGAGCCTGAGTGTGGATGAGTACGGTTTAAGTGTAAGCAGGGATGGAGAGAGAAAGGAGTTTTACCTTCTTGGACGTCATTGTGGCAAAACACCACTGGGGACGGAGTAGCTGCCAGTAATGCACTGTTGACCCGAGTGGGAGATGGAGAAAAACAGAGATAACAGTGAGTTTTTATAACGATGTCGCTCTTGTATCTAAATCTGTATGACTCAACCCTAAAAGTAGAGGTGCACACAGTTTTTGACCGGTCGCCGATCTTGAGAACAACCTGGCTTGCCGATACGGATTTTGTCTTAACTAAAAACAGATTACGTCAATGTTTCAGTTTCCTTTTATTGAGAAAACCAATATAAATTCTCGTGAAACAATACCAGTTTCAATTGGACATGAGGTAATGTTCTGAAATATAAATAAACATATTTAGCATTGTTGTTTGAACTATAAAATAATATTTGTTCTTTTAGACTTTCATTTTTTTAATTTTGAAAACAAAAATTTTGTACCTGTTTTTACACACTTGTCCGAAAAATAGTTCTATAGCAATGATTTGACATCAACTAAGGGGCGCACCAATTGCAGTTTTTGGCTGATCACCTAACCTTGAAAAAAACAGAAATCGGGGCTGATAGATCGGTGCACCCCTACCTAAAATACTTAGTGATAGATGAACCTTAAAAAAACCTTAAAAATGCATTTATTACTTTTCTAGGAAATTAAAAAAGACCCTTTCCAGCCAAGAAAAGTTTAGAAACGGTCGAAAGATTCCACTTTAGTGATTGTCACATTGAATTTCTGATTTGGAGAATGATTGTTGCAAATCTACAAGATAACATCATACAGAGATAAAGTAAAACAGATAAAAAAGGTCTGATGCTGCATTGGTTCAGACTTTTGGACCAGCGAGAATAAACAGTAATGTCGTGGGCACACCAGGACAAAGTTCAACGCCCGTCTGGAAACAAACAAACCAGATTTTTAGAAATGTAATTGCTAAGTATTTAAATCCTGTTTTGTGCCTATAAAAAAAAACTCTTAACACATTAAACGTTTGTTTCTGAAAAGAGAGGTTGGCTATATTAATTTGCAAACAGAACAAGTGTGTTCCCCATCACATGGATGTAATGTTTATTAGAAATATACTTGATTTTTATTGATGAACGGCCAGAAACCCTAAATGAAAACTGGTTATTAGATATTAGTTCAACAAATCGTGCATTTTACCACTGGCATCAGGAATAAGAGACCAGGGGCCTCTTGTATCAACCGTACTTACGCACAGATCTGTGCGTAGGAACTAATTTATTCATTGTGTGGTATTCATCATTTAGTAACTGTGCGTAAAAATGTTCCTGAATAAAAGAAAACTCCAGACCATGCGTAGGAACAGCATCTTGTGGTAGAACGGGGGACCGCAACACCAAAGGTCTCAGTCATCCACACACTTTCCTCATTACCCATTAAATAATTATTTAGGTGGAAAAACAGCTGTGTCATATAGTAGGTGCTAAAACACTCAAGGACTTTGTGTTTTTGTAGTTGATTTTGCTTGAGAGGCGCTACATAAAAAGTTTCTTCTTATTATTGTTATTAAGGATTTGTCAGAGCATGCTTTCTGGAGTAAACGTGTTTCCGAGTGCACTGACAGGAGCTGTGCTGTGATTAGGGACCCATTGTGGAGCAACAGACAAATCCGATACCAGTTCTTTTTATTTTTTTTGCAACAACCCCCCAGAGCCTCCTCTGCTCCCTGATCATACACGCGTTGCCAAGGTAACCAGACTGAATGACAGCTCAGAAGAGGCTGCACTCTCAGACATTTTCACAAAAAAAACCTAACCCCAAACAGAATGACTCCTTTAAAGTAAATGACAACCCATTACGCTACGATTTATCATATTCAGTTTTATATTTATTTCTGACAGAGACCTCTGTCCCAACTGCATGTATAACCTCTGCAACTTGGTTCTTTTGCACTTTGGCAGCAGTGTCTCAATCTCACTGTCAATGAAGTTTTTTTTTTCGGGGAAAAAACTGGGAATTCACTCACAAGGACGTAGTATGAGCAAACATGGTTAACTGAGCGTGTTTCTGTATGTAAATGACTGAGAACGAACACGAGCACCTGGGTACGCACAGTTGTGATTTATCATCAGACGAGAGCGGAGGAACATGCGTACGAGAGGCCACCGCATGTTTCAGACCTGTTACAAAAGCTTCAGAATAGGATTGACACTAGCCATGTTTACATGCGCCAAATTTCCCCAGTCCGATTCCAATCTTGGTTGATCGGAAATCCAGAATCTTTGTTTACATGCACACTAACTAAAATGATCCGATCATGCCGTGAGTTTATATGCACCAAGTATTCAATCAGATTAAATAGGTTGAGCATGCACAGGGTTGTCTTTCCCAGAAAAAAAGTAAACAAACGTCATGAAATGAAATGAAAAATGGAAAAACTTCCTGCTTTCCTGATTCATTTAATCATTTTAATGATTTTATTTAGCTCATAGAAGTTAAGTTTTCTTCAGTGAATAACTGCAGGTTTATGCTTTGCTGCATTTTATTGTTGACATTATCAAAATAAGGGAGGGTTCTCCTTGTTTCTGCCTCTTGATCAGCTGGTCTGGGCATGACGTGACGACTGGGCGCAGCGCTGTGCGGAGGTGGGGGGTTCAGATCTGTTGTGGCTTATTATTAATAAAATGTGACCATCAGCTTAAAAGGTTGGTTCAAATTACCGTAAATAACAGGAGATGTTCAGAAAGTCTGGAAGCCTGTGTTCAACATGTGTTAAACGAACCGCATGCCATCTCATCTGCGTTAACATGTTTTACACAGATAGTCACCCATAACATTTAACTGAGGATGTTTTTCTACTGAACATCAGCCTCCTTAAGCTCAAACCAGGTCTGTGTAACCGATGTTACGCTGTCTTCTTTACGAGCACGTCTCCATCCACCTGCTGCAGAAACAGCTGCGCTGCGTTCACAGAAACGGGGATCCATGCTGCAAACCCGAAATGAATCTGCGTGTTTCCAGTACAGACTTGGACACGTTAGTCGAGTGATTTGCGCAATAATCAGATTTTTATTTTACTTCCCCAAAATGCAACTTCTGGATTAGATATTACAGAAATGGGGTCGGCTTGCAACCATATTTAAAAACCAGCGCTCTTTAATTAGGCCATCATTTTTTAAGTCAGGCAGTCTAAATGACGATGGGGAGGCTCGCTGGCTGTTGCACACATGCACAGCGGGCATTATTTTACTCCAACAATCCAAATGGCGGTGTACATGCACGTCAATCGGAATGATGATCGGACAAAACCACCTCTCGCAATCGTCATTCCGAATGGGCCGAATCGGATCACAACATTCCGACTGACATGTTTACATGCAGAATTTTTGATCTGATTGGGCGTTCAATCCGATTAAATGTGCGCATGTAAACGTGGCTACTGAAGTGCCAACTTGTTCAGTTAGTTGATTTGTTTGAATAACTTTAGTTAGATGTCTGATTTTAACACAGATCAGTGCAAAAAATTACCAGTGAATCTGTGTTCACCAACTGATGTTATTAGTGACGTTTCAGCAAATAAATAAGGTGAAAAACATTTAAATATTAGGCCTTGAAGATCGACCCAAAAGATTGGCAGTTCATATCGGCCATCAGCTGACCATGACCTCTAGATATTGGTACTGGAGATAGAAAAGCCAATATCAGTACACCTGTAGTATAGACCACTGCAAATGTATTAAAATATAAGTGAAGGACCTCTTTAAATGCACAAGTGTATCAATTTTATCATTGAGAACTTACATGCAAACGTTTAATGTATTTGTTTTGTGTGATGCAATTCAAACTCCAACTGCTTGGTGGCATCGATTTTTTACTGCCTTCATTATGACAAAACAACAAGATCTAAACAAAACACAATGTTTTCCAATTAAATTCAGTCTTAAAAATTGCAAATATAATCTGGCTTTTAGTACTGCAATATATCGTATCCTCTCCCCTGTACTGTGTATGACATACTATGTACATAAACCATTTAATTAATTCAAGCCAATTCATTCCAACTCACCACAGACTCTGCAGCTCAGCAGGCAGGTCTAACTTCATCAGCTTATTGTACTTCTTTACATGTGTGTCACGTACAAAATTTATCTCCAACACCTGATCCATGTATCTTAAAAACATCACAAAGGAGGAGCATATTGACTATTATAATACAGAGAAGTAGTAAAGAGGGAGAGTGTAGTATCCTTACTTGTTGATGGTCCCAAAAAGCCATTTGGGCTCTTTGTTAAACGGCATAACCATTTCATGGAAGTGAGCAAGCTTGGTGGCAATCTCGGCTGAGATTGCAGGATCTGAGAGTTGGTCTGTTCGCATACGGGTGTTCTACACATAAAAATGGAAAAGGAAAATGTATGCACGAACATCTTAAATAGTGGACCATTAAATTTATGATTGGGTATTTTATATATAAATGTATCGTACCGGAAGGTACTGCTCCAAGCGTCCCTCAGGAAAGATGCCGTAAAGTTTTGGACCCAGTCGTCGTTCTGCCAGGATGGCAAACATCACACTTTCCAGCACCAGAGAATCCACCCCCTGAATCACAAAGAAAACAGCTGAACAGAGGGTGATTTGTTTCACTCGTGCCAGGAAAAAGGACAGTAGCAAGTATGTGTTCAACCAAAACACCCCGAGTCTCAGACCAAACAGACTAACCTGTAGGATGGCGCCATAAATTCTCAGCAGCACCTGGTGAGGTTCTTCCCCCAAACATTTCACGTGATCAGGCAACGTACACAGGTACAGTAGATTACTCAGTCCACCGCTGCAAAACAAGCACGATTTCCATCAAAAATCAGGAAAGACTTGATTAACAACAATAGGTGGTATTCCATTATGATGGGACAGATAAGGAACTCAAAGCAAGGCAAAACAAAACCAGCTGTGTTGTAACAAATATGTCATTACTACTCCCCCTCTCTTTAAGCCATAACAGGAATTTTAAAATGTAGGGATTTTCTACCATCTATTCATTTGATCACACCTTACAATTTAAATACAGCATGTATAACACATCCAGTAATATTATGAGGTATAATAAACAGCTGTGACAGATGTTTACACCCATGTTTATTGTTTACATCAGCAGTAGTTCATGAGACCCTGGCATTAATTACCTGACGATGCTAATTTGAAAGTCGGCTTCCTGGAGAGTTTTCCACGATCCAGACAAAAAGTCCCTGCACCAGGAAAAGGCCCTGCTCCTGGTGTCCCGATCGACCTCCTCGCTTCTCCCATCCCGAAAAGACTCTGCCTCCGAGTCGTCATCCCAGTTGGCCCCAAGCAGAGGACTCGGCGTCCTTAATAAGTTTCTCTCATTAACAAGAGCCCCTCCGAGTCGTTTCTTCTCTTTCCGAAGATCCGTGTCCGCGGTGACGTGAGGAGGGACGTAACTGCAGTTTTTGTCCCCCGACCCTGCCGTGTCTACTCTGCTCACATCCTCATCTCCGCGACAAACACCAGCGGTTGGATTTCGACTAGACATCGCGAGTTTCTGGGAGAAGACTAGATGAAGACCGGAGGAAAATGTCGGAGAGGAACACGCTGACGCGCGCACTTCGCCAGGAAAGCTTCTTAACCGGAAGAGCCGAACATAGCGGCTAGTTCTTAAAAGCATATGAGAAGATTTACAGCTTTATGTTTAAGTTATTCAAATAACTTTAATATCTACTAACGGAAAACCCCTAGTAATACAAGGTTAGGCTCATTAGAGATCCGCTGTCCAATCACAAATAAAGTTCCGGGTCACCAGCCATGCCATTGGTCGATGCGTCCCAAAGGCTTCTGGGAAATGTAGTGCTTAGTGTACGCCCCCATGCTAGGACAGTTCACGTTTGTGTGGAAGTAGGCTACTTTTTACCCACCTGCTCTAACTCATAACTTGCTGCTATAGTTTCCCTGAATTTTACCACTGGGAGACAATAGACGATATTCCTGTTTGGTGTCTTCTAATTCTTGGCTGAATTAACTGATTACATGTCCAAGTTTCCTCTGGGCTTGTCCATAATTTGCTAGGAAGAAGTTTTTCACACCTTCTGTCTAGCCTGAGAATTGACTGTGCTTTATTAGAGGAGGAAGCACATCAGAAAGCGAACAATGTAAAAATATGTGACCTTCTGGAGAAACATCTTGAATTTCTGAAACGTTTATATTCTTTTATAAGAACAACTTGGAATGATGTAAAATAAGGTTCAGACAACACATTCAGCCGATTAAGAATTTATTTTAAACTCAGATTATTTTAGTTACACATCAGGATGTCTGGCTTGAGTAAAACATTTGGGCGTTGTTACTCAGAGTTTGGTGAAGATTATTTTATTGCTGCTGATCAAGGTGGTCTCTTCTCTGTATTGTTTCTTGACAGACCCAGAAATTTCTCTCTCTGCACACAGAACAAGACACCAGTCAGTTGCAGGTGGATGGTTACAGTTAAAATACACATTCTTCAAATGTTCTTCTCAGTCATCAACAAGTTAGGCAAATTTTAAACACAATTTTGGTCAAACTACTTACTTTTCCTGAAGCACCTTGGTTCACAGTTATTTGAAAACGAAGGCTGGCACACAGCGGTTTCACAGTGTATGTACACCTGGTTAATAAAATATTTAACAAATATATCAACAAGGTGATTTAGAGAAAATATATTAGCAAGTAATATAGATTTTTAAAAGAAAGTTCATTCATACATTTTCCTGAAGAGGTGTCCACGTTGCATCTGAGGGTGCCTTCTTGGTGAAATCAGATGCCACACCACCACTCACAAAAGTGAACATCTTGAAAACAAATCGCCTGTAGTGAGTTGGAAATAAAACTCCAGATGAGGGACCCACAGGGATCAGTTGTGTTTGATAGTGATCCTCATGGTATGGGCAGCTATTAAAAGAGACAAAACATGTATTAATATTAGAAAAGCATTAATAATTTGATGTTTTCAAATCAAATCAAAACTCACTGTTACCCATCAATCAACAAGTCCCATTGTGGAAAAACTAGGGGGTTGGGGCTGGTATTTGCCCAGCATCTTCCAAGAGTCAGAACAATGTTGGGATCAGTCCTCTCCAGTATATGGACCTCAACATAAACTGGATCCCTGAGAACCTTTGTAACAGGATAGTCGGCATCCGTGTAATAGGATGTGTAGGCCTCTTGGTCTGCAAAAAAGAGAAAGAAAAACCGGTTGGTGGTGCAATCACGGGGAAGCCTTTATTATCTATTAAAATCAGGTATTTTATACTTACCCTCGTCACAACCCTTGACCATACACACTCCGTTGCCAATTCTGAGTTCAACACGCAGGATTCCAGGAGCTGCAACAGGAGGTGGTGGAGGAATGACACCAACCTCAATAACCAAAGCTTCAACTGCAGTGCCAATGTATTTGCACTGAACATGCAGCCTGAGATGAGAAACATGAGTATAGATTGATCTGAAAATCTTGAATGACTGTAGGCAAGATTTGTAGGCAATGGTGTGTTTTCTAGTCTTGTTTTAATGCAGTTATAAATCCAGTCCTCAAGGGCAGCATCCAGCATGTTTTTGTTTTTTCTTCCCTGCTCCAACACCCTTGATTCACCTGTTCAGTAACTCATCGAGCTGTGCAGAAGTCTTTCAATCACCTGCTGATTAAAATTAGGTACGCTGAAGAAAATGAAACACCAAAACATGCTGGATAGTGGTCCTTGAGGACCAGAGATGTCCACCCCTGGTAGACACCAATATTTTTCAAAGCATTAAAACACATACTCATATTGACTGTCCCTAGTAATGGCTCCATAGGGTCCAACAGCCACTTCGTATGAAGAAGTCATCTTGTTGTCGTAGATTATAGCACCAGGTTGATCCTACAGGGCAATAGCCACATTTTAATCTTAGCTGTTACCAGATAAATGTAAAAAGCCATCAAATCAAGTAGTTGCATTTCAACCATTACCGTCATGACAGTGCCACAGTCAGTCACGGGAAATTGGTAGATGGCAAAAGCTGATGTGGTACCAACAGGACTGCAGTTTGGACCTTGTCCAAGGAAACTTATTGATTCTAAATCAATGTAGGGTAGAGTAGCATCTCTGGCGACAACTATGATGAACTGGCCATCCTTGGTGCACTGAAGTGTCACTGAAATAAACAGATCAGAAAATATCAAAAATGTAGAACCTGTTTTTAAATCTATGAGCTGCACATCTGTCAAAAGAGTGGAGAAAATTAAGCACTTACCAAATTTGCCATAATAGCACATTTGTCCATCGTAGCAGCAGTCAATAGCTTGGCATCCTTGGGCAGTAATGCTGGCAGGACCGCATTGTATTTTGTACTGTGGAGGCACATCACAAGTGTGAAATGGTACGGTGGGCTGCATGGGTACTTGAGGGATCTGAGGTTGAGGAGGGTTTGAAGGTTTCTGAGGATACTGGGGTGGTGGAGGTGGCATAGGGTTCTGAGGTGGAGGAGGATACGCAGGTTTCTGTGGATACTGGGGTGGTGGAGGTGGTGGAGGTGGCAGAGGGTTCTGAGGTGGAGGAGGATACGCCGGTTTCTGAGGATACTGGGGTGGTGGAGGTGGTGGAGGTGGCAGAGGGTTCTGAGGTGGAGGAGGATACGCCGGTTTCTGAGGATACTGGGGTGGTGGAGGTGGTGGAGGTGGCAGAGGGTTCTGAGGTGGAGGAGGATACGCAGGTTTCTGAGGATACTGGGGTGGTGGAGGTGGCGGAGGTGGCAGAGGGTTCTGAGGTGGAGGAGGATACGCAGGTTTCTGAGGATACTGGGGTGGTGGAGGTGGCGGAGGTGGCAGAGGGTTCTGAGGTGGAGGAGGATACGCAGGTTTCTGAGGATACTGGGGTGGTGGAGGTGGCAGAGGGTTCTGAGGTGGAGGAGGATACGCAGGTTTCTGAGGATACTGGGGTGGTGGAGGTGGCAGAGGGTTCTGAGGTGGAGGAGGATACGCAGGTTTCTGAGGATACTGGGGTGGTGGAGGTGGTGGAGGTGGCAGAGGGTTCTGAGGTGGAGGAGGATACGCAGGTTTCTGAGGATACTGGGGTGGTGGAGGTGGCAGAGGGTTCTGAGGTGGAGGAGGATACGCAGGTTTCTGAGGATACTGGGGTGGTGGAGGTGGTGGAGGTGGCAGAGGGTTCTGAGGTGGAGGAGGATACGCCGGTTTCTGAGGATACTGGGGTGGTGGAGGTGGTGGAGGTGGCAGAGGGTTCTGAGGTGGAGGAGGATACGCCGGTTTCTGAGGATACTGGGGTGGTGGAGGTGGTGGAGGTGGCAGAGGGTTCTGAGGTGGAGGAGGATACGCCGGTTTCTGAGGATACTGGGGTGGTGGAGGTGGCAGAGGGTTCTGAGGTGGAGGAGGATATGCAGGTTTCTGAGGATACTGGGGTGGTGGAGGTGGCGGAGGTGGCATAGGGTTCTGAGGTGGAGGAGGATACGCAGGTTTCTGAGGATACTGGGGTGGTGGAGGTGGCGGAGGTGGCAGAGGGTTCTGAGGTGGAGGAGGATACGCAGGTTTCTGAGGATACTGGGGTGGTGGAGGTGGTGGAGGTGGCAGAGGGTTCTGAGGTGGAGGAGGATACGCAGGTTTCTGAGGATACTGGGGTGGTGGAGGTGGTGGAGGTGGCAGAGGGTTCTGAGGTGGAGGAGGATGCGCAGGTTTCTGAGGATACTGGGGTGGTGGAGGTGGCATAGGGTTCTGAGGTTGAGGAGGATAGGAAGGTTTCTGTGGGTTCATAGGTTTGCCATCTTGCGCAACAGCCAGGTAGCCATGAAAAGCGACTGCCAAAAGACAGCAATAAATCAGCTTCATTGTCATGGCCTCACAGCATAGAGTGGATCACAACACAAAAAATGCTGTGGATACTGTGGTGGAAGTATGCTCTTTTATATGTTGTGGGTCAGGCTGACTTGATGTCTTCATCCCATTATTGGTCCGCAACTGCCAATCAGAAAACACATGCGCCTGTGATGATACACTGAAGAGATAAGCAAAAACGTAAACTCAAACAAAAAGGCAACGTTGTTGCATAGATATTTTCTTAAGGGTACATGGCAGTTAACATGTACAAAAAAATTGTATCTATTAATATTCACTTGCATTTGACGTAAAACACTCGCGAGTATGACAAGTTATTTTTTGAAGCTGAATGTACGCTAATTTGAACAGATCAAAGCCTTCACAGGGTCTTTATGACCTTAACCAAACATTTGGGGTCACACACTAAATAAATAATTCCTATCTTTCAATTTGACATTGACAATAAGTTACATCAACATTTTATCTCTATTTACCCAACAAGCCCTCATTCTTTAATTTGCTTGATTTAGACGGATAGTTTTATTTTCAGTTTCTTTATGAAATCAAAATTACACGTGCGTATCGGCACTGTTCACTTTAGGAGCCTTTATAAATGTATTTAAAATGCCACATGTTTTACTGACAAATCTAACCATATGTTAAAAATTAAGTTAAAAAACTGCATGGAATAACATTTGCCAGACAATAAGTTATTTGTCTGTTGCTTGCTATTTCTTGCAACACAAGTAAACATGATATTTGCAACCTGGACATATGAATTAATTGCTCAAATAACAGTTTTGTACAGAGAACTTATAATTCAGATGTCCTATGTTTGAAAATGTTTTATAAGAGGAATTGAAAGGAATTACAGCTAATTAATGTTTCAAGTTATGTGGTTTGTATAAAAACAGCAGGTAACCTTGTTGCAGGCACATATTTCACACATTTATTTCACACACACACACACACACACACACACACACACACACACACACACACACACACACACACACACACACACACACACACACACACACACACACACACACACACACACACACACACACACACACACACACACACACACACACATTTTTAATCATTCTTTTTTACAAGCATTTTCACACCTGCCTAAAACTTGCACAGTACTGTATATAATTAATTTTGTAATAATCATGAATTAATTAAGATGGCATAATAAACTCAAACATAGAGGAGGTCTAAAGGTTTGAATCACGTAATTTTATTAATTCAGCTCCTTTTTGTTGCCAGTTCAGTTTTCCATCAAACTCAAAAGCAGCTGCTCAGATCTTTAAAAGTTGATTTAAATTTCTCAGATCATTTCTGAAAACATTTTTTTCACAGAAATTCACTGTGTTCTTTAAAGGTGTTGAACACTTGTTTTATTAACACATTTACAATGGTCTCTAGTAGGAATGAATATCATGTATTGTGCTTGGGGAAAAAAAAAGCTCAGATGCGCCTGTTTCAGGAACTAGCGGAACGCCATATCAGAGAAGGGATGAACATGAGTCTTATTTCCTGATATTTGGACATCTCGCCTCTGACTAGCTAACAGCAACGCAACTCTACCACTGACTCCAGTTGCTTTGAAATGTTGATATTTTATCTCCGCAAATAACACAAGCCTGGAGGAGTTCTGCTGTGTAGTGGAGCTGCTAGTGCGTCCCCGTCATGAACGTTCAGTGACAGTGTGATGTAGATCTGTCAGGCTTTTCAAATCCTAGTTTTTCCATCTATTTTCTCTAATGCAGGATATAGGTGTAGGAGACAATTTTATGTTAAGCCTGCTTGAAAAACTCGGAGTGACGGATTAGAAAAAGAACTATTCATAAAAAAATTATTTTTCATTGTTCCACAACTTTAATGATGATGGAATTGCAGCTTTTATTGGTTCTCATTGTATCAAAATTGGACTGCATCTAAGTCTGTTGAAACAGATGTTCATATTGTTTTACCATTTTGTTCATCACCCAAAAATTCTTCTGTTGTTAACTCAGCTGAGCTGTTGAGTAACTTAGGGTAACCTTAACTCACCGCGGGTGAAAGTGACAATCTTTTTGCTGCTGACATTAGCAGGAACCGTATCGATTCACCTTCACAAAATGTACTTTGGCGGCCACCGTGAACTATTTTGTTTAGGCCAGGTAAACCTGACCTGGGGTCAGCATGACTTTTATGACCTACTTTAGTTTATTTCTGGTGTTTCTGCCAACTTTTACTAATACATTTAAAATTTGTTAAAGGCAAAAGAATTTAAAGCAAAAGAGGGTAAACAGGAATTTCTTTGATGCCAAAAGATTTGTGGAGTCCTTACTTGGTGTCCGTGGATGTGTTTAGTGAGAACTGCTGTAATTCAATTGGTTGAAGTTCAATCTTGTTGGTCTAGATTGGGGGAATGGCCAGTTTAGGGGGCGGGGAAGGAAAACATGTAAACAAGTTCACCGTATTATAAAAGCTGGTCCACATTTCCACCTTCCTGCAGCACCTGGTGAGCTCGTCCGATCTCTCGTGGTTGTTGTGAAGCCATAAAGATGAAGTTGGCTGCTGTTTGCGTTGTGGTGCTAGTCCTGATTGGCAGCTTCTGTGATGCTCAGCCCCAAATCAGCAAACTAAAATACCCTCCAGTCCCACAATATCCTGCCAAAAACCCTCCAGAAGTCCAACAACAAAAGCAAACATTTGAAAAAGAACTCACCTGGAAATATCCTGAAAACCCCCCTCCAGAAGTCAAGCCAGAAGTGCCATTCGAGCTAAGGTACCCTGTGGCTGCTGCTACTGTTGCTGTCGATTGCAGAGAGAGCATAGCTCACGTGGAAGTCAAGGAGGACATGTTTGGCATTGGTCAGTTGGTCAGTCCAGCTGATCTTACTCTGGGTACCTGTGGTCCAATTTCAGAAGATACTGTTGCTCAAGTGTTGATTTTTGAATCTGCGTTGCAAGACTGTGGGAGCACGCTGACAGTAAGAACAAATCAAAACATGCTGATGTAAACTTTGGAGGATGTGTTTAATTTATCAGTCTAAACATTTTGTTTCAATAGATGACAGATGACTCTTTTATCTACACCTTCACCCTGAACTACAACCCCACACCTCTTGGCAGTGCTCCTGTTGTGAGGACCAACAATGCTGCTGTAGTTGTGGAATGCCACTACCCAAGGTGTGTACAGTATTGAACTACATTGGGATTGTGTTGACCCAAAACATGAAAATTGCTTCATATGCTTTTCATTTTTACATCAAATACACTTTTTACGTATCTGAATATCTAATTCTAATGGAAACCATGCTTTATTTCTTAGAAAGCAAAACGTCAGCAGTCTTCCCCTCACTCCACACTGGGTTCCATTTTCTGCAGTCAAGATGGCAGAGGAATTCTTGTACTTCACTCTGAAACTCATGACTGGTGAGTTTACATATAAAAGTATTACAAATGTTGATTTAGTTCTCTTTATGTCCAGTATTCTTGTATGTTTCGCTGTATTTTATTTTATTTTAAATTTTTTTTAGAAAAAATCAACCTTTAACAGTTTTTCCTGTTCAGGCTGGGTGTGTTTTAGCTTCAATCCTTTCTGCAGAGATGTTTTAATTTCTGTTAGGAGCACTGTTTCCATACCTCTATAATAAAATCACATAAAACTCAGTTTAATCTGATTCAAATGTTGCATGCTATTACACAGATGACTGGTTGTATGAGAGGCCAAGCCACATGTACTTCCTGGGAGACATGATTCATATAGAGGCAGCTGTAAAGGAGTACTTCCACGTACCTCTGCGTGTTTACGTGGACGAATGTGTAGCTACTCTTTCACCTGATGCTAACTCCAGTCCCAGCTATGCCTTCATTGATAACCACGGGTAAAGTTGCTGTTAAACTGGACACACATTAGTACAGTCAGGGTAAGTTTCAGCAAATGGAAAAACAACTCATGGTCTATTTTGTTTTTGCAAATAGATGTTTTATGGACGCCAGGATCACAGGCTCTGACTCCAGGTTTATGCCTCGCACCACGGAGGACAAGCTTCAGTTCCAGCTGGAGGCCTTCAGATTCCAGGGTGCTGACAGTGGAGTGGTGAGCATCACCAGATACATCCCAGAGTTAACATTATTAACACGTATGATCCATCTTAACCCAACACTTTCACTGTTTAAACAGATGTACATCACGTGCCACTTGGTTGCCACATCCGCTGCCTACGTCATTGACACTGAACATAGAGCTTGTTCTTACATTAACGGGTGAATGTGAACATTTACATGTGCGTTACTAATCATGCACACAGAGAGAATAATTTTAAATGAACCTCCAACTTTTCCTTCTATAGATGGACAGAGGTCAGTGGAGCTGATGTTTGTGGCTCCTGCGAGTCTGGTACTTTTGTGCCATATGTCGCCCCAGTAATTACACCTGGTGTAGCAACAGTGCCGATACCCCCTGTAATGCCACCCCCTGTAATGCCACCCCCTGCACCACCTGCACCTCCTGCATATCCTCAATACCCTTCTAAGTATCCTACGAAGATTAGGCCATCACGTGAAGCAGCCAAGCTTGAAGGTGCGCAAATCTTATTTCCTAATTTATGTTACGGTCTATAGCCAACAAATTACACCATTTACTTGCAGGTTTTGCTTTTTACAAACAGAGAAAGTGTGTCAGTGTGTGTTGTTCTACAGCTACAGTGACATGTTCTCTAAAGCAGAAGTTGTCTGTTTCTCTCAGGTATTGAATGGGAAGGTTTCGTCACCCTGGGCCCTATCCCCGTCAAGGAGAAGAAGAAGGCCTAAAGGATGAAGGTTTAACATCGTCTTCTGCTGTCACCATAATCATCAAAATAAACAGTATAATTGGTTCATATCTGTGTTTTTGTTTTGCTCTTGCCTCTTGTTTGTAGTTCTTAAACTAAATCTTAAAACACAGTTTAAAACCTCAACACAATAAAACCGTTAGAGGTGTTTAGAGCAAGTGATGCCTCCTGTGTAATCATGCTGCGGCATACATCTCTCTGTCCCTATTTCTTTCTATTTGACAGTAATAAAAAGAGCAATTGGTTGAAAAAGTGAGAATTTCTTTTTTAAATTTCCACTAAAGCTACTACAGTAACAAAAAACCAAAGTGGACTTCAGTATTCATCTTTACACACAAACTGAAGATGCATTCATGAAAAACTAAACAATACAATTGTACTTTAGTTCTCTTCAGATTGCAGCGTTGTGATGTAGCTGATAATGTGCTTTACAAGGCAAATGGATTATACTGGTGTCTTTTTTGAGCCATGACATAGTTTACGTCTCTGAAAAGACCATAAAAGTGGATGTAACGTCACCAAATGGAGTGATTTTAAGATCCCACAGTACATATGCACGACCAGCGCAAATTACCCTGGCTGCACATGTTCTGCTGTATTTTACCCTGACAGAAGTTGGAATGTCTGCACGCAGGCTCTTTAATCAGATGACCATCAGCTGAACTGAAGCTTCATCAGATAATGAAAGATGACATTAGCATTCTTCTCCAGGATCCTTCACAAGAGAACTCTGTTAGATAAACTTTTATTCCCAGAAGAAAAGAAGATTTCATTTTATAATTCAAAATAATCATTGAAGAAAAGAAGATCTTATAACTAAGATTGTATAATTAATAATCACCAAATATTGTCAAGTATAATTATAAATGATTAAATGTTTCATGAATCTGTTTCAATGATACTAAGCATGTTTACTGGATTAGGTCATCACACTTGCAGACAGAGTAAGGCTAAGATAAAGACATGACACACAAGTAACCTTGTCTCACATTTTAGCGTTCAGAATTGGAGACTGTGTTCTGAGATGCTTGGCAACTTCTGAGATAACACCAGGCCTTAAAAAGAGCTTCAATCTCAGTCTCAGTAAATCCGACAGACAGAGAGAAAGACGCTCAGAACGGCCGTCTGAGCAAGCCTCTTTCACCAGAAGGATTTTGACATAGTCAAAACCTTAAGCTTTTGCACCTGCAAAGCTGAGGACAACAAGATATTGTTCCTACAGAACAAAGCTGATTTTGCCACACTCCTTCAGAGTTGTTTTGAGATGCTTGGTTCCATCCAGTCCACCTGTGTTACCTGGAAGCGATCCCGGACCGACCTGGTCGTACTAAGAGTTAGTCTACGGACTTCTGTACTCGGGGTCTCCAACCCCCCTGACATTTCAGATCCGCAAGGGCGCCTCCACTTGGGTATGTAGAACACAGTGAGATAGCTTCTGTATGCAGTTTGATAAATAACAGCTTGTAGCTTACTTGCAAACCAAATTTCCTCCATCCAGGATTCAGCTTTCTCATGATACCGACTCTGAAATATTATATTCACACCTAGTTCCAGACACCCATCTCTTAGTTCACATCCACTCACAGTAAATAATAGTTTAAACCATTTGCCAAGTCTTAAATTGTTTGTAAAATACATTATTATTTATTTGCAAACCTGACTGGTTCTTGAATCCTAAATGAAGTGAGGACAGTCCCTGAATAAATAGTCTTAGAATCTTCTGCCTAATCATCTTAAAGATCAAGCAGGTGATATTCTATAACTAATAGATTATCACAGCTATGGGTCACAAGTAATGACAATAAAAATAAATAGCTCTAAAGCAATTTATTTAATCCAATTTACCCTATTATTGACTTCTTTACATGGATTAACCCGAGCAGATCACATTGTCCATCTATGGTCGCGATGTAAACAAACTTTGGACCAGGAGCTGGTTGCATACTTCACACAAAAGCTCATGGGGGCTAGTAATTAAGTGGACACAAAGAAAAATGACGAACATTTGTTTTTGGTTTTTCCTGCTAGAGTGAGTGCACAGCAGCCACAACAATGGCAAATGAACACACATATAAAAAATGCAGAAACAAAACACCAAAAATAAACTATAAGATTATGTCATTTAGTTAAAAAAGTGCTATTTCTGAGCATGAAAAATCATCCATTAAATACAAATAAAAAGATTAGTTATGTTAACTGAGCAGTTACTGCCCCCGTGTGGCAGAAACCTTTACAGCAGCTCAGATTTCAGCACCACCGGCCGTGAACAGCTCCCTGAGCAATGATCTCCCGCACGTCCTCACCATCGGTCCTCACTAAAAATTTTTTAGGATAAATGTCACTGTAGCCTTTGATCACTGTTGGTTAAAAAAGTATGATTTGTCTATATTATCTATTCAGAGTCAAGTGTTTTATTCCAAGTTATTTATACGCTAAAGTAATCACATGTTTTTTAAACTTTTTAAGTGAATGGACCCATGTTATGGAAGATCTATAGTCTAATAAAGAATTTATATTTTTACAGCAGAATTCCCTTTTTACCATTCTGTTTGTTTTATACATCATATTTTAAATGGTGTTCCTCCAGTTAGTTAAAGTAGTTAAACAAGTTTAAACAAACTAAATAAAGCGTAATGACAGTGACATTGATTGAGATTTGGTGATATAATATCATGACCATGCTTAAGGTAAGACTGTTCATACGGCTCCCTTACACATGCTTATAGATATGTTATTAATCAATCTATTTTACTGTAATAAATAATAAATAATTATTATTCTGCATCAATTAAGGGTGAAGAAGAGAGAACAGATTTGGCTCACACAAAGCTGGTCAGTTGTCTCTTTTTCTTGTCCTTTAATAAGCAATTATTGATAAAGTGTTCCAGATTAATAATAACAAACAATTTATTGACATTTTGAGGAGAGCCATGTTTTAAAGTGGTTCAATTCTTGTCTTTTACATAAATTATATTATTAGTTTTAAATAATAAGAATTATCATTGATGATTAAAACCACCTGAAGATCAAACGTAGTGTTTGTGTTTTCTGTTTATTTACTTTTTGTATCCGAGCATAATTTATAACGTATGTGCGCCCCTTCAGCCTCCTCTTGGAAACGAGGCTGACGTCTCCCGCTCCTCCTCCTCCTCTCTCTCACCCCCTCCTTTCTCCTCCTCGCTCCGCTGCCTGTCTCTGCACTGCTGGCCCGTTGCTGTTGTGTCACAAGCAGCATCACGGCAGCAGACGTTTGCCGAGCAAATCACGGACTGCGGTCGAAGAAAATAAAAAACGCGAGGACTTAGCGCTAGATGCATCGATCAGGGAACACGGGGATCTCCGCGAACGTCTCTCGCTGCCTCTGAAGCACATTTCCCTCCCGGATGGGTTCACTGCAGTCAGATTTGATGGTGTTGAGCAGGCTCGTCTGATCCAAGGCTTCCGGCCAGGCGGGCATCATCCGCGGGGACGCAGAGCGCGCGACCACACCGCAGTCCAGGACCGCGTCCGTCCTCTGGCCTGTGATTGTTCATGGACTGCGCTTCCTTCCGTGATTTTCTGCAGTCTCTCTGAGTCATTCGTAGTAGAAGATGGCGGACAGGGCTGAGATGTTTTCTCTATCCACTTTTCACTCCCTCTCCCCACCCGGATGCAGGTAAGAGCTTATGATAGAGGGCAGGAGGAGAGAAATGGTGATGGCGGAGGAGGCGATGGGTGAAAATAAGGCAAAGGGGCGACATTGTTACTCATATTTAACCGGATTATTGCCAAAAAATAAATAAACAACCCCAAAAACATGCCTAATCCAGCCTGTAGGTAGTTATTGATGAATATTTTAGGCCTGATGGTGATGATGGGCGCCTGTAAGAATTATTTTTTAACAAATAAAAAGCATTTTGTGAAAATTATAAATGAAATAAAGATACGAATTATCAAAATGATCAAGATGTAATTTTGCAGACAGCCAGCGTTTGCGCATTCTCTGAGAGAGGCCCACGCCCTGTTGAGTCCAACCCAAAGCAAGGGCATGGTGCTGAACAATGATGCATGCAAGTCTCACTGATGCTGTTGTAAAGGATCTTTTATGTCGTCAAGTTTGATCACGTTTTCATGCCTTCTGAACACAACAGAGCAGATTTCTGCTGCTGCAGAGGTAGTTGTTGGTTTGTTTTTGCTGCTTTCAGCTGTTTATCCTGATGACTTAACAAAATCAATTAGCTTTGCAGCATAATAATAATAATAATAATAATAATAATAATAATACATTTTATTTAAAAGCGCCTTTCAGGACACCCAAGGTCACTTTACACAAAACACGCAATAAAATACAATAAAACAATAATAAAACCCAAAGAAGAAAAAAACAGAGAGAAACATTTCAATAAAATCAGAGGTTGTAGGCAGATTTAAACATGTGTGTTTTGAGTTTTGTTTTGAAAAGGGTAAAACTGTCGACGTTCCTGATGTCTGGGGGAAGTGAGTTCCAGAGTCGAGGAGCAGAGCGGCTGAAAGCTCTGCTCCCCATGGTAGCGAGACGGGCAGAAGGAACCGCAAGATGGATGGAAGAAGAAGATCTGAGTGAACGGGACGGGGTGTGAATACTTATAAGGTCTGAGATATATGGAGGAGAGAGGTTGTGGATTGCTTTGAAGGTATGGAGGAGAATTTTGAAGATGGACCTGAATTTAACTGGGAGCCAGTGAAGCTGCTGGAGAACCGGCGTGATGTGGTGAAAGGAAGGGATTCTGGTGATAATACGGGCTGCTGAATTCTGGACGAGTTGCAGTTTATGAAGGAGTTTGTTGGGAAGACCATAAAGGAGTGAATTGCAATAGTCGATACGGGAGGTGACTAGGCTGTGGACGAGAATGGCGGCAGTGTGAGGGGTCAGTGAGGGACGATTACGGTTTATGGAACGTAGATGGAAGTATGCTGACCGAATTATGTTATTAATAATAATAATACATCATTATAGCCTCCTGATATAGAAACTTTATATTGTTGAGTCTATAAAATGTAAAATCAAAAGTAGAATAACACGGCTGCACACGGTAATGACATGCATGGTTTAAAGTGTTTGGCTTCTTACAGATTTCTTGTTTTTGCTTTTTTTGTCACCCAACACTTTAATTAGACAAAGGCAACTCGAGTAAATACAGTATGTAGTTTAAAATTATTCATTTTATAAAAGAAAAAAAGCCCCAAATTAACCTGACCCAGTGAAAAAGTCATTGCTCCTCTTGTTAAATTATGACTTAACTGGGAATAATCAGATTAATTGGAAGCATGAGCTTGGTTCCACCAGTCAGCCAAAGCTAGGCCTTATTACTGTCAGACATGTAGAATGAAGAGCTGAACAATCTCAAAAGCAACACATCTAACAAATCCAGAACAATCTATGATTCAAGCTTGCAGGAGCAAAAATTGCCTCCACGTAAGAGTTCAAGGACCTCTGCTGACCAAAAAAGAAGACAAATGCCCATCTCACTTTTGTCAAAACTATTAAATTAAAACAAGTCCAACAAGACGAATTAGTTAAAATTCCTCCCCAGTGATGTGAGAATCTTTTAGTCCAAGGTTTGAGTTCGGTTGTAAATTTGGTTGCTGATCTTAAATGTGTGAGCAAAAAGGAAAATTTCAGCAAAAGCATTGTCACAACACCATCATTTGCAGGAACAAAAGTCTGACGTTGATAATCAGGTGAACCCCGACTCGTCTGCACATGCAGCGTTGTGAGCGTCATCACGTCCTAACCAGGTTCAGCCTAAAGCATCAGAATAAACGCAGCATAACATCCTGCTTCCACATGTCCTACAGAGGCAGCAACAGTAGTAAACAACTTCTGGTGCATTTTCTATCCAAGCTGTGTCTTCATGTGGAATTACTTCACTCCCATGGATGAATCAGATCGATGTGACAGTGATTCATTTATTTACTAGTTTTTTTTTTTGCATGAGCTTCAGTGACCTTCAGATCCGATTTCTAACATCTGAACCTGGCATCAATAGTTTTGATTTCCAGCTCTGGTGTAAAAGTCAGAGCCAGCTACTGTATCAGACAAATGAAGTTCAGCTGCATTTCTTTTTGACCTTCTTATACATCACTCCACTGCAGATACTAGAAATCAATGTGCAAAAACAGTGGCATAGGTTGTTTGTTTACTGTGGATTATCAAATTTTGAAGTTGTGTGTAGTTCTTTTTACCAAATCTCTGAGTGTGTGTTTGCTGTGAGGTGTGACTGATGGTAATCTGCTTTACGTAACCCTAAACGCTATAACCAATGAGCAACATGATCCAATGCAGAGGCCAGCTGCCCTGAACTGCAGAAATTTGACTTTTACTTTCATGTTAACATTTTATTTACTTCCAATGAAGGAAAAAGACCGACTGAAGTTAGAGAGTAGGTTTAATCAGATTAAATAAAATTATATAGCATTGTTATTTACTAGATTGTTTTACCAATGCTTCATTATAAAAGCAATTAAATGACAAACTGTTTAATTATTTTGTTTCTCTCCTGGTCTGGTTTCAAGAAAACATCATAATGACACAATTAGACATTTTCTCTAGTTTAAAAAGCCCCAAACTGTGCTTTAAATTATGGTCTGTTCTTGGTAGAGCTGAGGCAGCATGTAGAAAATTATTCTAATATTTTATCAAACTATTTGAGTTTGAGACAATGATTATTAAATCACATCTCGATCAAAGAGGAGACAAAAATAATTTTTTTAAACTAATTTAGGATCTATTATGATTTCATTGTGACGTTGTACGCAGTTTCACATAAATAAACTAAACCAGATTTTAATCTCACAGATTATACAAGATTAGAAAACTATATGTTGTCATTATCTACATGTTGTGATATAGATTATTGCTTCACAGAAACATGGGAAAAACAAAGCTGTTACACTGCAAATAGTCAAAACATTATGACTATGTGGACAAAAGAGCACTTTATCCTTAGTTCTAGTAAAATTACACAGCTTTTTACCCTGAAAAAAATGATGATGGTGATGATGATGATGATGGTGATGATGATGATGATGATGACAGTGATGATGGTTATGTACGTATGCAATCAAAATAATATAGGGCTACATTTACCAAAACACCTTTACATTATCACGTGTTCCAAGTGTTTTACTTGAATTTTTGAAAATAAAATAAACCATCATGAATATTGAGTTGTGGTTTCATTTGAGACAATATTGTTTGGGACTGTCAGTAAAATAAAACAGCAAAGGAAACGATGATGAATTAAAGCAGTTAGGTGCAATCGTTGGTTCAACAAAAGATCACCTTTGCTTTTGTCGCTTCATCAACTGCCATTCAAGCCCCTTTAAATGTTTATTTATAGATCCGATCACTTTGGAAATCAATCCATTAATCTTCCTAAAGGAAAACCCATCCACTGTCCCAAGTCACAGGTGTCCTCTATAAGGATGCATCAGCATAGCAACGACAATCTCTTTTTGGGAGGATTCTTTTCTTTTTCACTGTGAACGTCGTGTTTATTAGCCGATGCTCCACTTTTGCCATCCAACTCTTTGAAAGCAGCTGGAGAAAGCAGCGAAACAAAGATAGGGTGGGGGTTGTGGGCTGTTATGGTTGCTATGGGGAAAGAGGCTTAAATCAAATACAGATTCATTTTAGCTTAAGCGCTCCATCTCTGCCTCATCATCTCCCCCTCTTCATCTTTCTGTGCGTTTCCTCTTTCCCTCCCGTCTTCTACCACCGTCCCTTTCCGTGGTCTCGGTGGTCAGTCTCTGCAGCAGCTGTTGCTTGTTTTTTCCATTTCACTGACGCTAAACAGGTCATCTTCCATGAGATTTGTTTTGCATCGTTGTGACAACACACTCATAACCGCAGCTTGCATCTGCACAAATCCTCTTCTTCATGCTGGCAACTCAAGCATCATTGTCGCCCCCTTCATCTCCATGTGGTGTGATTTTCACATCTTGGTATCACACAGACAACTGAGAGTTCATCATTAGGATAAGGGCATGACTCATACTTGCGCGTACATGTGTGTGTGTGTGTGTGTGTGTGTGTGTGTGTGTGTGTGTGTGTGTGTGTGTGTGTGTGTGTGTGTGTGTGTGTGTGTGTGCAGTCATTTAAAAGCTTTAGAAAATGATCTTGCTAATGACTCAGTAATGACCACATTGAATATTAGTGGCTTTTGATGATGATGTCAGGATGAAGCAGGCGCTTGTGGCTGAAGTCAGATTAATCACAACAAAGACTCAGAACCCCATCTCCACCAGAGATTTAGTTTTAAATTATTATTTGAGATGTATTTTTTTGCCTTTTGCGTTTTGTATTTTTCACATCCCAACCCATCACCATTTGCAGATGATCTTTGTTGTTTTAAATAGAGATTTTCAGATAGAGTCTTTTCTGTGGTCAACATTTGATGCTAAGTTTCATCAATAAAAAAATTACATAATTGCTTAACCTCAATAAACAGTTATTTTTAGGAACTCTGAACAATTAACCTTCTTTTAAAAGGCATTGAAAGAGTAATAAGTAAGTAAGTAAGTAAGCAATTACTTTGTATAGGCTAATTTATAATTATTGCTATTTCAGTGTATAAATTTTATTTTAGTTAAAAAGGGGCAGATAACATAAGTTTTCTTCTTTCTGTTCCCTTTTCATTTTCTTGGTTTGAGATACCTCATTTTTTTAATAGTATTGTTTTTTCCTATTTTAATAATAATTGAAATAAATAATTTTTAAAAAATTGTCTTTTTCTGTGTCAAATCCTAAACTAAGGTCTCTTAGTCAATTTCAGTCTATTACCATAACCTTTCTTTATCTCTGGCTTTGTTTACTGAGTGAGTGTGTCTTTATTGGGTCAGCAGAGAGCGAGTGTAAATGTGGGCAGAGTGGAGGCGAATGACCACAGACAGTGAAATAGAGTGACACACAACAAATGGTCCATGTAGATGGCAAATGCGTTTGTGCTCATGTATCATGATGCACTTGAAGCACCTTTCAGAGCCAGAGGACTCCAAAGCGCTTTACAGTCAACACATTCTCACACCCAAGGCATCAAAATATGATGAGTATGACCAAGCCTCAATATATGACGATTCGGGACGTCCCAACATGTCAGGAGACGACGATCAGGGACAAACAGCTGACGCAGCATCCCAGAGCGTCGGTATCCGATGCCGGTGGTGAGACAGATATTAGAACTACTTGTGAAATACTTAACCTTGCCCTCACCCCAATCCTAACCTTAAGGTCACAGTTTATGGACCTTAAGGTTAGGATTGGGGTGAGGGGAAGGATGAATAGTCGAATAATGTCCGTATTACCGCGCTCGTCAAACAGTGACGCCAGCGGAGCCACGTGACCCAGCGTGTCCCTTATCGTCGTCTCCTGACGCGCTGGGGCGTCCCGATTCGTCATATATTGAGGCTTGGTCACATGCGTCATATTTTGACGCCTTGGGTGTGAGAATGTGTTGTTACAGTACAGTGCATCATTCATCCATTCACACACAAAGACACACCAAAATGACAGAGGTGAGGCTACCTAACACTGGTGCCACTGGTCCTTCTGACCTCAACCAGCAGGGAAGGTGTGTTAAGTGTCTTGCTCAAGGACACAACTTCAGAATTCTGTGCCGGGATCTATCCTACAACCCGCTCTCTGTCCTAAGCTACGTCTGCCCTTAATATTAATCCTTCATAATCCTCATCTACTCCTCTGTTACTCTGTGTGCCATAACAGCTTTTGTGTTTTTTTCCAGTAATTTCTGGAGAGTGTTGGAGATAGTCCAGCTGCAGTTTAATGATGAGTGGACAGAGTGTCTGTGCTTTGGTTTGATCTATCACTGCACAGGATGGAGGCCCCCAGCTGAAACCGACTCTTGGTTCCTTCCACAGACAGAAATGGGTTAATTAGTGGGTTTAAGCTGACTTCAGAAGTGAATGTGGTTGTACCTGGTTGATTTTTGGCTTTTTATGTGACTGGTTAGCTTGTATCCCTGTTTGAATTAGCTACAGCTCTCAGCAACCGGAAACCAACAGAAGCCCTTTCCCTGCTAAGTGATAGCAGAACTCTGATTAGTGCCTTTTTATCACCCTCTGTCGTACCTTAACTTGCGTCAGCATGTCCTCGTTTGCTCCATGAGATCAATGACTTTGTGTAGAAAGGGAACCCTAAATGGCAACGTAATCTAAGCTTGCATTCACACATAGTATGTAAGGTATTCTCTTCTTAGCAGGAAAGCTGCATTGCAGCATTTCCTTCAACACTTAGCATAGCCAGCTGCTGCAGACTGGAAAGCTCGCTGAATGTAATAGAGCAAAGATGAAATAGGACTTGCGGAGCCAAGCTTACTTTGCCATGGTTCATTACAGAGATACATAGACCTCCCTCCATGCTTTCGTTCTTTTTTAAACACAGAAACAGTTTTGTTTACCTGTTTGTAGCTACAGTTTCGCAGACGGCTGCCGGCTTCTTCAGGCTGACGCTGATGGTGGCGCGTCACTTCCTTCTCCGTTTATCTGCGGGCAGCAGAGGACATTGTCGCCCTCTACTGCCCGCTCTCCCCTCTCCGACGATGCAGTCCCATGCGTGGTCCAGCGTGTAAACTCCGTCGTCCCTGTTCATGGTCCCACATCCACGTCTCCTTATCTTGATTGCTTCCTTGATCCATCTTTTGTATTTTTGTTGTTCGGTGGTTATGATCCGTGTGTTGTCCCAGTCCATTATATGGTTTTCTCTTAAGCAATGATCTGTTACGGCTGACTTCTTTATTGTACTTTCTGCTTCTTCTTTTGCTGCTCTTGTGTGTTTACGATTTGCCTCTTTCTCGCACTCCTTTCTGTGTTCTATTGTCCGTGTATTGAGTTGGCGTCCGGTTTCTCCTATGTATGTTTTATTGCATATTTTGCATGGGATTTCGTAGATGACTCCACATTTTTGTCCAGCTGATATTTTGTCTCCCTGCTGTGGAGAGCAAAACCAATGTGCAGAAACTTTGGTGTTATAGGAAGCTACCAACTATTTATACAACAGCTTACTCGGCTGATGCATGCTTTTTTCAGTATGATATAACAATGTAAAAATGCTGTCTTTTAATTTCAGTCTGTTACACCTTGTCAGTTTGTAATCTAAGTAGAAAGAATATCATTGTGATTGAGACTGAGATCAATAGCCTGACAATATATCTGATCATAATCAGGTTTTCCCTGAAACAGATACTAAATGAAAGAATTCCCCTCTTGAAACATTCATCAATGAAAGACATCAAGGTTATCAGAATTATTATTCTTATTAACATGTGCAGTAAACATAGCACCTCTCATTTATTTCCAGGCCATCCCACGACATTAGCCTAGAGGAGTTTGATGATGAGGATCTCTCTGAAATCACAGATGACTGTGGGATTGGACTGAACTACGACTCCGATCCATATGAAAAGGTGAGTGCTAGAATGCTTGCCCATTTTGATGTTTTGGTCATTTCATGTGTGTCTCTGATGTTTAAACATTTGTGAGTACAATTGGTTTTGTGGTAACGTGAAATATCTATATGTCTACCACTAGGGGGCAGAATTGGATAGGAGAGCGTAGGTAGAAGGAGAAGTGTAGGGAGTTAGGATGGATGCCTGATGTTGCTACATGTGACGCAAGTTCAAATGAAGCTTGGAAAAGGAATTCTTGCCTACACGTGTCACTTTCTGATATAACGGCCAACCATAACAGTGTCATAAGCACTGTAATAATTCGTTAGTTACTTCTTACGTAATGAACCATAAAATGTGAGATTCCATAGGAAATATGAAATCAATTTGATGGATCTTTGAATATTACCTTAACCAGAAGATCAGAACTTTTTATTGCAGGGATTAGGTAACACTTCGTATTAACCCAGAGACAAGAGAGAGAGATAAGTTTTAAAGTTTAAGAAGATTTAATTCTAAACAATTTAAAACAAGGCTAGCTAACTCTAAACACTCTGTGTGATGAATGGATCTAGGCGTGAATGAGGCAAGATGGATGGTGTAATGTGGAATGTTGTTATCAGAACTCTTGTTTTCGGAGAAGCGTTAGTTCTGTGTGGGAACAAATGTTTGCTCTAAACCACAGTCGGAGTTTCAAAAACCACATTCAGACGCCAAATTGCCGCTCTACATACCCTTGGCGGAGACCTCCGTTTTAGATCCAGAAGGCCAGGTCCTCGGACCCCCCTCTTGGTACCGGAGCCGATGAAACCGCGTACGGTACGACAGACTAGTCTTGGAATGCCTCCAGGTAAGCGACAGGTGTTTGACAGCGTCAGCGGGACCCTGAAGAGTCAGTGAGTTCAGCCTTTACTCTGAAGGAGCGTTGCATTCAGGTGTAGCTTGCAACAGGTTTTATCATCCTGCTTGTCAAGGTTCTTTGTGGTTAAAAAGTTACGAGTGGCCGGCTCAAAACTCTAGAACGTTCGAACTGAGTTAAGGGTGATGTGGGAGTTGGTTTTATAATTCAAATGTTTTGATTTATGGTCGAATCAGGATTTGACAACCAAAAGGGGTTTGTATTAACACCACACAGGCCACGCCACGCGTCAGAAAGGAAAGCTCTGATTGGAGAGACAAAGGGAATGTGTCATGTGATCTTAACATTACTTGTGTCATAGGAGTGTCTACTGCATCTGTACCAAGTTAATTCTTGTACAAAACTACTGATTACAGTATTATAATTCAAGTAATAAACATTGTCATTTCACAGATTGATTTACATTGGGCTCACATTATTATTGGGACTAACAGACGTTATTTAATTATTTATTAAAAAGAAGAGTAGAGTCTTCTGTCTTGGTCTTGAGCTGGAAAGGAAGTGAAACAGTTTAGAATGAGAGGCATGAGACCTTGAGAGATTAGGTTTTTGAGGGAGACTGTGTCTCCCCAGCTTGAGCAGAGCAGGCATGACCTTTAGGTCAGAAACAGTCATTTCATTCCGCTACAGCACACATGGAGAGAAGAGAGAAAGACACTAGAATGAGGTAAGGGGCAATGTACATTCACTTACCTGTGATAATAATAGTTATTTTTAAGCAATATTTAAGTTTTATTATACATGTTATGGGGTAGATTATTGGATATATGATCACTCCACAAGTTATAATTTGAGATTTTCTGCTTAATCATTTAACTTAGAAGGATTAGCTTTATAGACTAGTTTTAGTAGCCTGGTGAGCCATCCTATAAATATAAAATCTAGCCATGACCCATAGACAGATCTCACCGTGAAGCCGAATCTAAGTCGTTCAAATGACCTGTGCACACTACTGGACAGCAAACAATGTGACACACTCACAGCTACTCAAAGGACTTAATTTCCTTCATCTTTTTTTTGACTCTAAGAAAAGCCCAAATCTAAATAGTCCAAAGTTGACGCCAAAGCCGTTTCTAACAAGTTGACGCCATCTTTGTTGTTCCGCCCCATGGCATCAACCTGCCCATTAAATCAATGGAACGCTGTGATTGGCAAGGCATACGACTTGTCTGGCCTGCAGGGGCTTCAATGGAGTGTGGCTAGACCAACATGCAGAGCAAAATCTTTTTGCTTTGGCTACGGTCTGTCTAGACCTATAAGCTATACTTTTTGTGGTTTACTCTGGGATTACATATTTTTAATTATTTACACAGGTCAAATAAGGCCCTAGAGTTTTTTACTGTGGAAAATAAAGGAACATTTTTTGTGAAATTTAACTTTGAGGATCTACATGGGAACCTAATATGTTTGTGGCTAAACTGTTCATTCTCAAGGTAAAAAACAATGATCTAAGAATGGTTATTTTAGTTAAATCCTAATTTAAGTTCTAGAATTTATATTTACTGTCATCTACTAGGCTTGGGTTAGGGTTAGCATTAAAGCTTCCTTCCGGAGTATTTTTCTTACAGGCTGACAAGCGTATCACACAAAAATGCTGTTCCTCTCTTTTTTAAAGATGGCGACTTCACGTTTCTATGTATAAATGTGCTTCTGTAGCCGACAAACAGAGCTAAAACACGTTGTTTTACGAGTATTATTCTCATGTCATGTTTTGTTTTCATATATTTATATTTTAGAGACTTTCTTGTCCGTGAAAAGTTCATCAACTCTGCATCAGCCGAGGTATTCCTTAAATTTGAAGCGTCTAAGCGGCAGTCTAACGCTATTGGTTAGTTCTGGCCAGCGCTCAGTTTCCTATTGCACGGAGCTCTGCCAGGCAGAGGGCGTGCTTAACAAAAAAAAAAGACGTATTGCTACTATTATATCACAGTACATGATAAGATAACCACTTTTACGGATTTCTGACAAATCATACATAATTTCTGAAAGAGGAAAACTCCGGAAAGCAGCTTTAAGCTTACAGAAATAAAATCTGGCTTTCAGCAACAATGTTGTGTAACAAATATTTAAAATATGCCAAGTTTAAATCAGTCGAATTGATGATAAGTGTATAAAAAAATATTAGCATTAATGCTAGGCTGATTGCACTACAAACACTAGCAGAATCATAGTTATAAAGCTCGGCTTATCTACACCTTCATTCTGCAGTCCTGGCTGAAACCCCTTCCACACTGATCTCAAACTAAACTTGTACAACCTTGTGACAAACAGTAATCCTTTGTTATCAATGCTGTCAAATGAGAAAAAGAAGAGTTTAGCTGAAGTTACTATAATGATGGTTTTAAAATAAACAGACATCTCTTTAATTTTCGAATGTCTGAATGAGACATGCGGTATTTCAAAGATTAATGCAGAGTTTTTACCCCTTTCAGAAATTATGTATGATTTTTTTAGAATCCAAAAACATGATAGCTTTACCCTGTTGTGTGATATAATGTAGGCAATACGTCCTGTAGAGCTCCATTTGAATAGAGCTTGAACTTGAGTGTAAAATCATAAAACAGCAAATCTGACACAATGACGGCTTTTATTTTGAGGGTTAGGGTTTTATTTGTAGGCAGGTTATTTTAGAAAAATAAAACATTTCCCAAATCCCTTCATGAGTTGTGATACAGGAAAACAATGGTTTGACCACAGTGTTTGCAGCTTGTTTTGTGAGTGTTTTTTTCTGCTGACAGGCTGCCTCACCAGTCACAGGACCTTAAACGTTGTGAAGCTTTGTTTCCTTTAAAGAATTGTTAGAATTTCACTGGTTTTTACTTGTTTATGAGTGACTCTTGACTCAGCTATTGGGTGATTAAATATGTGTAAAAATGTGCAATTGTTACTATAATTTTACATCTTACCTGTTGTGGTTTCCTGAGTTTGTAGAAACAAAAAAGTTTTGACAGGATTGACAAGCTAAGGGCTAGTCACAGTGGGGCTGAGACTAAATCAGCTCACTGCTGTCCTAAAACAGACCTGGTATCAAATGTTTCATAGCAGTTCATGTAAATGCAGCTTTATAAATCTTTTCACTGTTTTCAGTTGAGCATTACACAATAATATAATACACACAAGACCATTTTATGCGGAACTTCAATGACCAGAATGCATACACAAAAATCTAATTAACTTGAAAATTCTGATTCTGCGACTCCCAAATAAAAAATCTGTCATAGTGTTTATTGGTTTCGTTTCGTTTTATTGAGATCCTCATTAGCTTCTGCCTAAGTGCAGATGCTAGTCTTCCTGGGGTCTCATACATTTTCATACAATTGTTTACATAAGATAATACCCTATACACACACACACACACACACACACACACACACACACACACACACACACACACACACACACACATTCACGCACACACATCCCTAATTCACATAATACCAGTAGCTCAAGATGAAATCACATATCTAGATCAAAATTACATCGTCGTCGTCTTCCTCCGCTTATCCGGGTCCGGGTCGCGGGGGCAGCATCCCAACTAGGGAGCTCCAGGCCGTCCTCTCCCCGGCCTTGTCCACCAGCTCCTCCGGCAGGACCCCAAGGCGTTCCCGGACCAGATTGGAGATGTAACCTCTCCAACGTGTCCTGGGTCGACCCGGGGGCCTTTTGCCGGCAGGACATGCCCGAAACACCTCCCCGGGGAGGCGTCCAGGAGGCATCCTGACCAGATGCCCAAACCACCTCAACTGGCTCCTTTCGATCCGGAGGAGCAGCGGTTCTACTCCGAGTCCCTCCCGAATGTCCGAGCTCCTCACCCTATCTCTAAGGCTGAGCCCGGCCACCCTACGGAGGAAACTCATTTCGGCCGCTTGTATCCGCGATCTCGTTCTTTCGGTCATTACCCAAAGCTCATGACCATAGGTGAGGATTGGGACGTAGATCGACCGGTAAATCGAGAGCCTGGCTTTCTGGCTCAGCTCCCTCTTCCCCACGACAGATCGGCTCAGCGTCCGCATCACTGCAGACGCCGAACCAATCCGCCTGTCGATCTCCCGATTCCTCCTACCCTCACTCGTGAACAAGACCCCGAGATACTTAAACT